ATAGCCTGGTGCCCTGTAATTAAGTGCATGTATGTTTATAATAGTCACATCTTCCTGTTGAATTGGTCCCTTGATCATTACATAGCACCCTTTATCTCTTTTAACAGTTTTTGTGTTGAAGTCGATTGTGTCTGATATTAAGATGGCTATATCGGCTGTTTTTTGGTTTTTGTTGGAATGGAATATCTTTTTCCATCCTTTCACTTCAGTCTGCACACATCTTTGTTGGTGAGATGTGTTTCTTGTAAACAGCAAATAGTTAGTTTTTTTTTTTTGATCCATTTAGCCAGTCTTTGTCTTTTAATTGGAGAGGTGACTGTTGATAAGTAACAACTTGGCCCTGCCATTTTTCCAAAAATATTCCTATTTTTTGCTTTGAATTTCCTTTGATCTTTCACTGAGAGATTTTCTTCCTTTATATTCTTTATTGGTGATGACCATGTTTCTGTGTTTCTGTATGCAGCACATCCTTAAGCATCTTTTGTAGGGCTGGATGGGTGGTGACAGATTCTTTCAATTCCTATTGGTTATGTAAGTTATTTATTTAACCTTCATTCACAAATGAGAGCTTTGCCGGGTACAGTATTCTGGGTTGACAGTTTTTTTTTTTCTCGTAAGATTTAGAATTAATCTCGCTATTCTCTCCTGGCTTGTAGGGTTTCTGATGAGAAGTCAGCTGGGAGTCTAATTGGAGATCCTCTGACAGTAACCTGGCATTTTTCTCATGCACATTTTAGAATCTTTTATTTATGACTTACTGTGGAGAGTTTGATTACAATGTGTCATGTCTCTTGGGAATTCTGTGTGCTTCCTGTACTTGGGTGTCCCTTTCTTTCTCCAAATTAGGGAAGTTTTCTGTTATTATTTCACTAAAAAGGCCTTCTAATCCTTTCTCTCTTTCCATGCCTTCGGGAACTCCTAGACTGTATGTTGGGTTGATAGTACCCTATAGATTCCCAACAGTGTTTTTTAGTTTTCTGATTTCTTCTTCTTGTCTTTGGTTTGACCATATACTTTCCTCTGCTTTGTCTTCTAAGTCCAAAAAAAATTCTTTCTCCTGGTTCACTGATTTGGTTGTTAAGGCTTTCCACTGTATTTTTATTTTTTCTATTGAATTCTTCATTTCATTTTGATTTCTCTTTAAGATCTCAGTTTCATGGGAGAAATTTTTTGTGTGTCCTGTATGGATTTCAGTAGTTTGTGCATTTGCTTCTAATTACTTCTATGTAATCTTAGGATCAGTTTTTTGAATTCCATTTCTTGCATTTCTTCCATCTTATCTTGTTCACAATCTAGTATTGAAGGATTGTGTTCCTTTGGAGGCGTCATGTTGTCTTATTCATGTTTCCTGATTGGTGTGTGTGTTGTTTGGCATTTGTGGAGATACTTGTTGGTTTCTTTTTTCTTTCTTTCTTTCGTTTTTTTTTTTTTTTTTTTTTTTTGCTGTGTGGCAACTTTTATCTTTGTACTGTGACTCTGTAGATAAGTGGAATGTCTGCTATCTTTCAGTGAATATCTAGAGCTTTGTAGTGGGTGTGGTCAGGGAGCTCTGTTCATTTCTGCAGGGTGAAGTGTGTATCTAAGTAGACACACCCAGGTTTGGCATAGTAAATCTCCTCTTTTTTTTTTTTTTTTTTTTTTTTTTTTTTATCAGAAGGGAAGTTGATTTTGCTCAGCTGACCACCTCTCCTCAAAGGAGACTGGTGCCTGAGCGCTAGCCCCAGTGGCTATAATGTTCGTCTGCTCTGTCCCAGGGACCACACACAGGATCTGTGCAGTCCGCAGTGTGAGCTCAGATTCCCCTGCAGTGTCCCTCACGAGGTGACCAGGAAGCCCTCGCGTGTGGAGTCTCCCACTGAGACTGCTCACAGTCCCAGCCGCACCCTGAGTCCTCCCACACACTCTGCTTTTCACACAGTCCCCAGCTCCCAGCCCCCTGTTCTCCCCACCAGAGTCAGGAGTCTCCACTCAGCTGGTTGCCAGTTGCAGACATGGGCTGGCACAGCTGTGACATATGTCCCAAACAGCACCTGCTCTATCAGACGCCGTTGTAAAGTGATGGGGAGAGAGAAACATGTCCCTCCTTTTTTTTTCCTCCTCTAGCTGGGTTTTTTTCTCCTCTATTCCCTGTGCAGCTCCAAGCCAGGTTCCGTCCAGGCTCTTCATGCAGTTTTTCACCAGTGGCTTGGGCTGCTGCGGTCTGCTCCCACCTCACCTGTCAGCGCTGGTGTGTAGAGCTTCAACTGCTGGAGTCCTGAGTTGTGGGGCACCCACACCCTCCACGTAGGTCCACTCTGTCCCTCTCATTTGCATAGTGTTCCCTCTGCCGTGTTTCCCTAGCTCTTCCTGGAGACTGCACTCTCTCCTAGTTTTTTAAACTGTCTTCTCCTGGACTAGAGCGTAAGCTCCCTCCCTGCTCCGCTGCCTTGCAGCTCCCTATCTGCCTCTTAGAGAGGCTTGCCAGCCCCTGTTGAGAGGGGTTCAGTGGTGATTCGTGGAAGTTTGTATTATTATTTTTAAGTGAATTAATCATTAAAACAGGGTCATGTATGAACCAGTAATGATTTATGAAGAAACAAGGATTTTGTTTCATCCAGTTTTACACGTCTGAAGTAAAAGTGTTTTTAAAAAGGTGATCTGTGAGAAGTTAAATGTGTCATAGAGGCGGCTGGGCAGGGAAGAAGCCAGCGAGAAAAGGCCATACGCTGTGTTATCCCAGCAATAGGACGTTCCGGAAAAGGCAAAAGTGAAGAGAGTAATGAGATCAGCATGGCTGTGTTTGTGGAGAAAGGCCGGAAGATGAACAGTGGGGTGCAGAGGAGCCACTCCGTGGGGGTGGGGGTTGGTGGCAGCAGCGTGGTCTTCATGTGGCTGTCCCAGCTCTCAGCCCTGCACTGCACCAAGAGGGGGCCCTCAGGGAGACTGTGGCCTGTCATTAACGATGGCCCACCCGCACTGGTTCAGCATGGATGGCAGGTGCACCACACAATTGCAAGACATGAGCAGCCGGAGACAGCAGGGAGGGCTGAGAGAGGAGGGGGAAGAGGAGGAATCCGGGAGCCCTGGGTGTTCTGTGTGATTTTTCTATAAGCCTAAAGCTGCTGTAAAATACAAATCTGGTTAACATTAGATGCCTCAGTTCACACTATAGCAAATTTGAAAGGCAGAACACAGTCTAGGAAAGATGGTCGCAGCATATACCACATACAACTTTTTTTTTTTTTCTTTTTCTTTTTCTTTTTTTTTTTTTTTTAGTTAAAGGGCTCTGGTAATTCAGAAAAAAAAAGTATCTAAAAAGGGGACAGTTCACCAGTGAAATAATTCAAATTGCCAAAAATCTCATTTTAAGTGTTCAACTTTATTAGCTGTAAAACAAAAGTTAAACTGATAAAAGTTTCAAGTGCTTAAGAAGATTAATAATTAGTACTGTGGATGGTATAGGAAAACCAACACATAACCTCTTGGTGTGAACTGGTGCAATCTTTTGTGAACAACCTGGCAAAATGTTTCATGATCTCTAAAAATGGTTAGGGACGGGGTTTAGCCTGGTGGTTAAGATGGCCATATCCCATATCAGGTTACCTGGGTTTGATACCCGGCTCTGATTCCTGACTACAGCCTCCTGCTAGTGCAGTCCCTATAGAAGGCAGTGATGGCTCAATAATTGGGCTCCTGCGACCCATGTAGGAGACCTGGACTGGGTTTCCAGCTCCTGCCTTCATCCCCGACCCAGGCCTGGCTGCAGGCCTAGCTGCAGGCCTGGCTGTTGCAGTCACTGGGGAGTGAACACCCAGAGGGCAACTCTCTCTCCCTCTCTCCTTCTCTCTCTCTCTCTCCCTGTCCCTCCCTCTCTCTCTCTCCCCCTCCCCAGCTTTTCCTCTCTGTCCCTGCTGCACTGGCTTCTTGCACTTAGCAACACACAGTTCAGACCGTTTCAGATTTTTTAAGAGCTTGCAGTTCATTTCTTTTTGTTGTCAAATAATAGTGTCTTACATGGCTATATCACAATCTGTTTATCCGTTCTCCTAATGAAGGGCATCTTGGTCGCTTCCAGTTTTTAGCAATTATGAATAAAGCTGCTATAAACATTTTTGTGCAGGCTTAAAAGATTCTTAATTAATTAATTAGTTAGAGCTCATATCTACTCATTTACTCCTCACATGCTCTCAATGGCTGGGACTAGGTCATACCAAAACCAGGAGCCAGGAGCCCAAGTATTCTGGCTGTCACCATGGCTTCCTAGCATCTGCATTAGCAGGAAGGTGGAGTTAGGAGCTGGAGCCAGGAGCCAAACCCAGGTGTTCTAATGTGTGGCACAGGCATCTTGACCAGTAGGTCAAATGCCTACCGTGTTGTGCAGCTTTTTCTGGGGCATAGACTTTCAGCTTACTTGGGTAAATCCCTAGGAATGCAATTGTTAGACCATACGTGAAATCTGTATTTAACGTTGTAAAGAAACTGCAGGCGGGATTCCAGAGTGACAGAGTCATCTTGCATCCCCCCCCCCCCCGCCCGGCAGTGAATCAGTTCCTGGTGCCCACGTCCTTGTCAGCACTTGGTGCTGTCTGTAGCCATAGCAGCAGCAGCTGTGGCGTCTCAGCATCGTGCTGTGTAGTTCCCTAAGGCCTGTGGGTGCTGAGCCTCTTTGTCTTTGTTAATTCGTCCGTGTGTCTCCTCTTCTGAAGTGTCTGCTCAGATCTTTGCCCTGCTGTGAAGAGATGGGCTGTTTTCTTCCTGCTGAGTTCCGAGTGTTCGTTGTGTATTTTGGATGCGATTCCTTTCCTGAAAGTGTTTGAATCTTGTATAGCCTGTACAGTTTATTTTCTGGTGGCTGTCTTTATTATTCATTTTTGGAAAGTCTTCTTTCCCCTTAGGTCATAAATACTCCCTTTTGTTTTTCATGAGTCTATGATTTAATTTTGAGATAATTTATTTCCAGAAACCCCGAGTTTCTTAAAAGGGATGATTTCATTTTTTTTCCTCCATTTAAATCCACTTAGATTTAATTGCCTTGCCTGTTTTTGACAAGCATGCAATGGAAAACTGGGGCCTGCTGATGTTCGATGAATCTGTGTTGTTGCTGCAACCCAGTGACCAGCTAACAGAGAAAAAGGCTACGATCATGAACTTCCTCTCCCACGAGATCGGACACCAGGCACGTGGCAGCATGTTCTTTCTTCTCTCTCGGGAAGGCATTCAGCAGTGCCCTGCCCAAAACAGCAGAAAACAAGCCCGCATTTTAAAAAAGGAAAACATAACTGAGAAAGTGAGACATTGGGGGGTGGTGTGTGGCCTTGAGCACAGAAATGAAGCCCCAGAGAAAGGTGGTGTGCCAGCGTGCGATGACGCCCTGGTGCACAGTCCACACACACGGTCACGGTTTTCATCTGTCACTCACCCCACGGCACAGTTTTTATTATGGCCTGAATCACACATTGCTTTGGAACACAGGCTGCTAACTATTAGTCCAGGCAGCTGCTTAAAGAATTTGGTTAAATACCAGGGCACGAATTTGTTGGTTTTGGAAGTTATTGTGATTTTCTTTCCTAATTCTGTTTATCATCCATTTGACACTTTTTTTTCCGCCTCTTCAGCTCAAATAGAAAATAATTATGGCCGAAGCATGTTGCAGAACATGTGATGGCTTGAGTGATTCTAGCACGGGCCAAATGCAGTCTTGTTTCTAAAGCATAAAAGCTCACAGCAAAATCCTGCTGTGGCCTATTTAGGGTTTGGGGAGCTAGAGCTGGTAGTGGCCAGTGGGCCTCAGGCAGGCAGCCAGCTGTAAGCTGCGGGCAAAGGGGACAGCTTGAGAAATGCACCTGTCGCTGATGTTTCCGACTTCTCCACACCTTACACAGCAGTACACCTGCCAGGCTCCCTCTTTACGTTTTATACTGATGGCGCATAAAGTTTGGTTCTGTCCTTGGTGCACCTGCTTAGCGTGGCATCGCAGTACATCTAACTTAAAGTTAAGAGGGCTCTGTTTTCCCTCCCATCTCCCAAAGTGGTTTGGAAACCTGGTCACCATGGACTGGTGGAACAACATCTGGCTCAATGAGGGCTTCGCGTCTTATTTTGAGCTTGGAGTCCGTAACAACTTCAATCCGAGACTCCCAAGAGTAAGTATATTTGATACATTTATGTAACGTTTTTCCCTGTCATAAAAGTAATGCATGTGCATTCATTGTTAAAAAAGAAAATTCAGAAAAAATAGAAGTGTTAGGTCCAGGTACCTTCTGATGTTGTTATTACTATTATTATTATTATTATTATTCCAGGCTTTTTGCCTGTTCTCAATGGTCTTGAAAATGGGAATTGCATGGAAATTTGTAATTTTTTTTCTTACTTCATAATGTATCACGAGCATTTCTGCAATTGACCAAATACTTTCTGGAAGCCAGTTTCGTGGCTGCCAGCATTCTCGTGCAGAGCACCCCTGGGAAGGAGATGGTGTGATCGGCTCTCAGTCCTGCTGGACTGCATTTCCCAGCGGGTGTGAGGAGTGGCTGCCCTGTAGTGACAAGCGGTGCGCTGCATTCCGTGACCAGGTCTCTAGCGGATGTGGTTGGGCTGATGTGAGGAATTAGTAATACCTGCTGAAAACCAAATTCATGGATATGCAGATGTGGTTATTTCAACTGCAGGCCATGGCTGTGATACTTATTTAGAATACTTCCTAATGGCATGATAACGCCCAATTAGTTTGACTTGACTTAGATTATTAAGTATTTACTTAAAGTTGCCTTTTGACGTACAAGTCACATAGCAAAGTGGAGGTCCATTCTTGATTTGCATTCCCCCACCCCCTGCAGGTTTCTGGCCCCTGTCTTCTCTTTGGTCCTTGAAGGTGCTCTTTCCTGCTTCTCTCTCGGCTCCCCTCCCACTGGCCCCGTGGCTGTCTTCTCTCCAGTGCCTGCCTGATCTACTTTACAGGGGGAATCTGCCATTTTAAAGGAGATTCTGGGGCAGGCATTTAGCCTAGTGTTTAAGAGGCACATCCCCACATGGGTCTGGGTTCAGTCCCCTCTCTGGCTCCTGGCTCCAGCTTCCTGCCAAAGTAGTTGGATCTCCGCCATCCATGTGGGAACCTTGGGCTGAATTCCCAGCTGTGGTCTTCAGCCCTGGCCAGAGCCTGTTGCAGGCATCTGGGGAGTGAGTCAGAGGGTGGGAGCGCTCTCTCTGCCATGTCCCTCCCTGTCTGTCTTTCCAATACGTAAGTCGATAAATAAATGCATTAGAAAGGGATAAAGGAATTGTGAGATTGCAGTGTTGCCATTGTTCGGGCAGCAGAGTTTCCTTTCTTGGGGAAGATGATGAAGGCAGATAACTGATACTGCTTTCTGTGGCTCGTATGGCCGAGTGAAGCATCGAGAAACCTGCCTGGGCTTCAGTAAAAGCTCTCTGTAGAGTGCTCTTCTCGATCTGTGAAATCAGTGTCTGGGAAGCACCGACGGGTAGACTCTTACTGTCCTGGTACCAGTGCCACCAGCCTAGTCTTGCAGACTTCTGGAAGATACCCCAGCCCGGTCTCTGTACCAGCCCCGCTGTCCTGCAAGGGAGTTCAGAAATCCTTACATAGATCTGGAGACAGAAGTGCTGAAAGGCTACAGGGCTCGCCCAAGGTCGGCTGCTTGCCTGCGGTGGAAGGGCGCACACCATCCAGTTGTCAGGGCCTGGTCCGGTGAGAAGGACGGTGATGATAACACAGCCATAGCCCTCGGCATGGGGTGCCTGGAACGTTCCCGCCAGGTCGTGTGAGTTCCGCACACACATCTCTATCCTCAAAACAAGCAAACGAGTGTAATTGCTGTTTCCAGTTTGCAGAGAAGCGAAGGCATAGAAGCGTGAATTAAGCTGCCTAAAAACTCATGACTACCAGATGTTGAAGCCAAGATGCAGTCCCAGGCATCTCTGGCTGCAAAGTCCGTGTGCCAACTGCTGGGCTCTCTGGAGGAGGCACATGGAGTCTCTGTGCTCCCTGGGTAGAGGGCAGTGTGTGTGTGTGTGTGTGTGTGTGCGCGCGTGTGCGTGCATGCACACTGACTCTACACAACCACATGCGCTTGATATACCTGCCATGATTCACAGGTGTCACTCCTTTCCAAATCCCTGTGCCTGCAAACTTGTTTGTATCCATCTTGTAGAAGCTAGAATCACACGTGATTTGTACCCCACAGAACTGTTTTTGAAAACATTTGGTTGTATCCCAGATTAGCCCTGTGCTTAGAGTCAACAAGGAAAAAAGTTTCATTCCCTTAAAACAATGAAATGTGCCCTGTGTTTCCTTAATAGAATATGTCGTCAACAACCATTTTAGTCATTTATTGCACTTAAATTGGGGGAGGTATCGTCAGTATCTGGCAAAGCTCGCTGAAGACATACTCCTGGCACTCTCAAAGCTGGAGAACAGGGGTAGTTTTCGGCCATTCAGTTCCTTCTGCTTTCTCAGCGGCTAGTGGGGCTGAATGAATTCTCAGTACTTGAGGCAACTGCTTTGTTCCCGTCATCCCTGGAGACCAGGAAGTGTGGCTTCCTGGTCATCAGTAAGCTGATGGAGATGGACACAGATTTCCGTGCCCTCTGTCTCTTGGTCTGGTTTCAGCTGGAAGTCCTGAAAGCGTGATAGCAGTAAATGGGCACGGTCAAGGCTTCAGAGAGTTGAGGACCAAGGGCATCCAGTGCTGACCTTGCTGCTCCCTGGCTTTTGGCCGTCTATCTCCTGCCTGCCCTCGGGCGGAGCAGTCTCTTGCCAGGGCCCTGCCTCCACTCAGGTCTCTTTAAAAAAAATTTTTTTTTTAAGATTTTGTTTATTTATTTGAGAGGTAGAGTTACAGACAGTGAGAGGGAGAGACAGAGAGGAAGGTCTTCCTTCCACTGGTTCACTCCCCAAATGGCCGCTACAGCCGGAGCTGTGCTGATCCGAAGCCAGGAGCTTCTTTCCGGTCTCTGATGTGGGTGCAGGGCCCAAGCACCTGGGCCATCTTCTACTGCTTTCCCAGTCCATAGCAGAGAGCTGGACTGGAAGAGGAGCAACCGGGACTAGAACCTGGCGCCCGTATGGGATGCCGGCGCCGCAGGCGGAGGATTAACCCGCTGCACCGCAGCACCGGCCCCTCCACTCGGGTCTTGCTCTGTCTTCACTGTGCTGCGCAGGGGCAAACATAGAAGTCCTCTGAGCTCCAGGTGCTCACGCGGACATGCACCAGACCGCTGAGCATGACCCCTGTGCTATGGGAAGCTCCTGTCCTCACCTAAGCACTCCTGTGTGCTTACGGAGTGTGGTCACACTCCTCCCCCAGGCCTCACAACAGCCCTGGAGAAGTCATAGTGATTGGGGTGACCCGGCAGTGGTTAGCCCTGGTTGAACACAGGCTGTCCAGCAGGCACTGTGCTCAGAGCTTGGTGGAGTTTGGTCCTCGTAGCTATCCAGTGAGGGCGGTGTTGTCCTCCCCATTTTTCGGGGGCACATGAGTTGCTTGGCCACTGTGATGAGTCACCTGAGACAGAGACAGACAGAAGGTCTTCCATCCACTGGTTCGTTCCCTGCATGCCCTCAGCAGCCACAGCTGAGCCAGGCTGAAGCTGGGAGCCGGGAACTCAGTCCAGGTCTCCCATGCAAACGGCAGGGACCCCAGCACCTGAGCCCTCACCTTCTGCTCCCCAGGGCACATGTTCGCATCACGCTGGCCTGGAGGCAGGTAAGCTGGGACTCGTAGCAGGCACTGTGCTACCGGAGGTCGGTGTCCTGCGCAGTCTCAGCCGCTGTGCCAGATGCCCGCCCCAAACCTGTGCTTTTAGCCACCGTGGACTTCTACTTAAGTGTGCCAGTGGATGCTGGAGTCTTCTAAAGATCAGAATAGATTCTGATAGACAGGGGTCTTCTCTGGGAGACCCCAGCTTGCAGGGAGAAGCAGCAGGGACTGCACAGTTCGATTTTATAGAATCATCGCATGCGATGGCTGGACAGTTTCTCTCATTTTCCTTTTTTTTTTTTTTTTGTTTGTTTAAAGCTGGGCTAAGGCATTTGTCCCAGCAGTTAAGAGGCCCACATCCCACACTGGAGTGCCTGCCTGGGTTCCATACTCAGCTCTGGCTTCCAGCTTCAGGTTCCTACCAATGTCTACCCCCAGGGGGCAGCACTGATGCCTCAAGTAATTGGGTTCCTGCACTCTTGGGAGACCTGGATTGAGCTGCAGGCATTCAAGGAGTGAACCAGCAGACAGGAGTGCTCTCTCTCACCCTCTGTCTCTCTCTGCTTAGCACATACTTTTTTAAAGATTTTATTTATTTTTAAAGTTACACAGAGAGAGAAACAGAACTGCTGGTTCACTTTCAGAAGGCTGCAACAGGCAGTGCTGGGCCAGGCTGAAGTCAGGAGCTGCTTCTGGGTCTCCCACATGGGTGGCAGGGGCCCAGACACTTGGGCCATCTGCTGCTGCTTTTCCCAGGCCATCATCTGGGAGCTGGATTGGAAGTAGGATGGGACACGAACTGGCGCCCACATGGGATGCTGGGTCACAAGCTTACCCAGCACACCACAACACTGGCCCTGAATGTGTGTGTGTTTTTTTTTTTTTTAAGCTGACATCACTTTTTGCGTGTTGTCTCCTCTGGCAGGATTAAAACAGACGTGACTGTGGGGGACTCACAGTGGAGCTGCCTGCAGGGTTTGAGAAGGAGGCGTTCGCCTCATGATCACGGCTGCCGCGTGGGGGTCAGGTGATGCCAGGACCCAGCGCCAGAGACGTGGCCGACGGTCGGTTCTGAGCAGGGAGAGCGCTTTGCATGCGAAGTCTGCTGAAACGTCCGAGTGGCAACAAGTCAGAGCAGCTTAAATGTCTCCCTACTAGCAGGGCAGTGGTCCTCGGCAAGAGGAGCTGTGGCCGGCTGCGCAGAAGTTTTTAGTGTTCTGCGTTTGCAAAGCTAGACCTGCAGTGCCTTGACAGGAAGAAATCAGTGATTGGAGCACCTGTGATAGTCACCACCAAGTTTCTGTTTTGATCTCGTTTGCAGTGCAGTAAGCCCTTACGGGCATAGGAAAGATGGGGTAGCATAATGTTTAAAAAAGATTTATTTATTTATTTTGCAAAAGTCACAGAGAGAGATCGATGTTCCACCTGCTCTTTCACTCCCCAGATGGCCACAATGTCCGTGGCTGGACCAGACCAAAACCGGGAGCTCCTCTGGGTTTCCCATGTGCATGGCAGGGGCCCAAACTTTCATCTCCCACTGCTTTTCCCAGGCCGTTAGCAGGGAGCTGGATTGGAAGGGGAGCAGCCCAGACATGGACCGGTGTCCACGTGAGATCCTGGCACTGCAGGCTGCAGCTTTACCCTCCACACCCCAAGACAGCACAGTATCCAAGTGCTCTAATAAACAAGCAGGACAAAAAATGTTTACGACTAGAGGACTAAAAAAGATGGGAGGGAAGTGTGCTCACACTGGACTGATGTTGCTGACACTGGGATGTGAGAGGCTGAGGGGTTGCAAAGTTTTCTCTGTGGCGTGGATGTGACACACGGGTCAACGGTGAGCCCCTCTCAAGACTCCTGAGTATGAAACTACTGAAGCCAGTGCCTATGCATGGCGGCCCACCCATGTGGGTGCCCCCCCGGCCTTGCCATGCTGCCAGTTGATATGAGCAGTGTCGCTGTCGGGTAGCTTATCAGAAAGGTGGGCTCCAACGCAAACCAACTGAATTAGAACATGGTTTTGACAGGCTCTCCGAAGGGATGCGCAGGACGGTCTAGGGACCTGAGGCTCCATGCGGGCTACCAGGGCCCCAACTGCACAGTTTGTCCACTGTGATGTGCTCTGGTGTGGCCGGTCCAGCCCCTCTGTGGCTCTAAATAGCTTTTCCTTCTAGCTTTCCTTCAGGCAGAAGGAGCCCTGGGCCATGTCTGAGAGTTCTGCTCATTGAAGAGTCCTGTGGTCCTCAATGTGATATGATGAATCCCCTCCTCGTGATGTGTGGGCCATCGACGCCAGCATCCAGTCTTTCAACTCCCTCCCAGTTGCCACTGATGTCTGTGACCTGGTGGGTCTGCAAATCAGGCATGCTTTTGGTTTGTAGCGTCCACGTGAGAGAGATCTGTCAGTGTCAAGGCATCACTAATAAAACTACAAATAAAATTCTAGGTGTGGAAAACTTCCTAGAGATGCTCTTCCCTGAGGCCCTTTCAGGAGCCGAGATGCTTTTAGGGGAAATGTAGGTTCGAGTCCCGGCTGCTCCACTTCCAGTCCAACTCCCTGTTAATGTGACTGGGAAAGCTGCAGAAGATGGCTCAAGTCCTTGGGCACCTGTACCCACGTGGGAGACCCAGATGAGGCTCCTGGCTCCTGGCTTTGGGCTGGCTGGAAGCTGAGGAGTGAACCAGCACATGGAAGATCTTTCTCTCTCCCTCCCTCTTCCTCTCTCTGTCTCTCTCTCTCTCTCATCCTCTCTCTCATCCTCCCCCCTCTCTGTAACTCTGCCTTTCAAATAAGTAAACGATTTTTGTTTAAAAAAATACAAAATGGGTAAGATAAGTGTCCTACGGATGTGTTGTTCGAGGAATCCTGACTTACTGGGCCTTTGCGATTCTCAAAGATGCTTCTCAGTTGTTCTCTTTTGCTTCTTCAGCACCAAGTTTGGAAACTTTTAGGACCACTGAATATTGTTTCTGTGACACCTCAATGTTCTCCTTTACAGAATGAGATCTTTTTATCCAATGTTCTGCATGTTATCCTTGGACAAGATCACACCTTGGTGTCCAGAGCTGTGTCCATGAGAGTGGGAAATTTCACAGAAACAAATGAAATCAGTGAACTCTTCGACCTGTTTACATACTACAAGGTACAGGCCATCATGTATTTCCCTCTTCTCTCCTCCCCCGCAGAAATCCCACAGCATAGTCTCTGAGGGTCATGATTGGCATTCAGCTTAAAACTTGATACAAAAACTGCAAGTTTGTTCAGTGGACAGATTTAGGAAAATGTGGTCGCATCAGTTCTCACTTGGCAGATATTACTCAAGCCCATGTTAGATGCTTTGTACCACCGATCATTATAAATAGGCTAGAATAATCAAACTTTGCTGTTGAGTGGAAATTTGTTCTTGCCATGTAGACGTCTCAATTCAATAGGATTGTGTACCGCAAACCCTTACTGTGAGAGACATTTGGTCTTTGATCTTCCGTTAGTGGGGTCTGTTTTCTTAGACTACTTCTGGGCTAATTCAAGCACTCAGCTGCAGTGCAGAATGTTACCTGTGTGGCGGAGTGTGTCTCCTGTGCACAGGGAGCTTCCTTCAGATAACGCCAGGCCCTTCTGTCCTAGGGAGCCTCTCTGGCCCGGATGCTCTACAGCTTCCTGAAGGACCGTGTCTTCATCAGCGCTCTCAGGGTGAGTTTGCAGAGTGGTTTGTCAGTGTGACAGTAACTGCTGCTCTGACATCTTTCTCCTGTTGACCTTCTCTCTCCTGCCTTTGCAGTCCTATCTGGAGGCATTTTCTTACTCCAATGCTGACCAGGATGATTTGTGGAGGCATTTTCAAATGGTAATTGTCCTGCTTTCTGTCCCTGGGCTGGGGGTGGCACTCAGCAGGCCGTGGGTGAGTGGCTGTTCCCTGGGATGCCCCTGCCTTGTTTGTGACACCCCCTTCCTTTAGTTGTCACTGTTTTCCCGGGGTGCAGAAGAGCGCCTGCACACAGTGGATCTGTAGACATGTGTTCAGGGAATGAAGGGATGAGCTAAGGAGCCGTGCGTGTACAGAGATAGAGTTCAGAACGTGGCCCAGAGTGTCGCCCGCTGGGGAGCGCTAAGCAGGAGAGGACCGGAACAGCGGCCTAGCTCCCAGCGGGCGACTGCTGCTAACCCCGTCTGCTGCTGTGGTGGTTTGTAAAACACAGGCTGTGGATGACCAGCATGCGGTTGTCCTGCCGGCAACAGTGAAGAGCATAATGGACAGCTGGACCCACCACAGTGGTTTTCCAGTCGTCACTTTAAATGTGTCCTCTGGAGTCCTGCGACAGGAACCGTTTTACCTGGGAAAGGTCCACAATCAGACTCTTCTCGGCCCCAGGTAGGTGGCTCTGCCCCGTGCCTAGTGCTCCTTCCCGGGGCTGGGCTTGGAGGGAGGCGGGTGAGGAGCTGGACCCTTGGTGAGCATACCCCTTCTGCACAGGGACCCCTCCAGGACTGTCCCTGCAGGCCAGGCAGAGACAGAGCCCCTGAGTCCCACGCTGGCTCTGAGGCCTTCATTAGGGGTCGAGGCAGCGCCACTGCCGCTGCCCTGTATTTAGGGTTCGGCAGCAGCCAGAGGATCTCTCTGGCCTCCACACAGGGGTGATGAATTACTTGGGACCGTGAGACAGACAGTAAGCTAGAGCTCCGTGTTCACCAGAACAAGTCCTGCTGCGTAGTGCTCTCTCCCCTGGTGGCAGAACTGAGTGCCAACTGTGTCTTTGAGGACTGTGTGTGTGTGTGTGTGTGAGAACATGCCATGTGGGTATGTCTGCGTGTGCATGAGCATGTGTGTATGCATGTATATACAAGTGTGTGTGTGTGTGTCTGAGTGTATGTGTTCCTGCATGTGAGCATTTGCATGTGTGTATAGCATGTGGGCATGTGTGTGATTGAGTCTGTGCATGTATGTGTGGGTGTGAGTGTAAGAAATGTATTTGAAGCCATGCCTACAGCACTAGCAGTGTGGCCTTCAGACTGAGTGAGACCTAGGTTCACATACTGACTTCACCATAATTCAAATCGTAGGTAGGTGTTATTTAAATTTGCTAAGTTTTATTTGTCTTTTTTTTTTAAAAAAGAATTTTATTTGTTTATTTGAGAGGTAGAGTTACGGACAGAGAGGTAGAGACAGCTCTTCCACCCGCTGGTTCACTCCCCAAATGGCTGCAATGGCTGGAGCTGGGCCAATCAAGCCAAGAGTGAGGAGCTTGTTCTGGGTCTCTCCCACGGGGGTGTGCGGGACCAAGCACTTGGGCCGTCTTCTACTGCTTTCCTGAGATATAGCAGAGAGCTGGATGGAAGAGGAGCAGCCGGGACTTGAACCAGCACCCACATGGGTTGCTGGTGCCGCAGGCAGAGACTTAGCCTACTGCGCCATAGCGCCAGCCCCTTTAGTTGTCTTTTTTAAAAATAGATGCATTAGCAGGCATCCCAGGAGATAGCTATAAAAGTGAAATGATGTGTTCTTGCCTCACTTTCTCCTTCTCTTTCTTGGTCTATTAGATACTTTTCTACTGTTTTTCATAGTTTTGACCTTAATATCCCATTGTAGTAAATAAAAGAGCCCAGATGAGTCCTTAATTTTGAAATACCATTGTCACAACCTGTGGAAAGTCCTGCTCCTCATTTAAAGCCTCAGGGGAGAGAGAGGAGACTGGGAGTTTCCCTGTCACTGTAGTGTCCTGTGACGTTGAGACGAGCTGTACGATGAGCACGGAGGCACACTTCACAGTCCCTCAGAAACCGGGCTTGCAGGAGTCTGTGGGCGGCTGGAGACGCTGTCCAGCCTGTGAGCAGCCTCCTCGCGCGACGAATGTGCCCTGCGGTCAGCCGTTTGGTCCAGGTCACGTCCACCATTCCGTGAATCTCAGCGTGCTGGCCGATTGCTGCTGGATGGGCTCCTGGTGGGGAGAAGCTGGAACTGGAAAGTGTCTGAGTGCTTGCCAGGCCGCTTCTCTTGACATCCCTGCTCTTCTCTGGGCAGCAGTGGGTTCAGGGCCGTCTGCAGCCTCGGGGTGACCCTGGGGTGACGATAATTGACACCCTCAGGCCTCGAAGGTTTCAGATACAAGGCAGTCCTAGCAGCCACAAGACGAAGATGATCCTACAGGCACAGCAAGAGAGGCCTCAGCGAATGCCCCGGTAACCCTGGGACCCCAGCCGCAGGTGACCCAGGAGCAGGGTGGCGGCCACGGGCCCCGAGTGCTGTCTCAGAGTATATTATGTGTGGAAATTAACTACATTTTTTATTTTCTCCCAATAAGTGACACCTGGATTATTCCTATTCTTTGGATAAAAAATGGAACTACACAATCTTTAGTCTGGCTAGATAAAAGCAGTGGTAAGTAACAAATTTTAAAAATATCTTCATATATATACAGATATAAAGACAGAATAAAATTCTAAAATGTCTAGCTTTTGAAAAGTTACCTCAGTTAACACTAAAATGTATCATTCTTGTTGAGCATGAAGCTTTAAAGGGAAGTTTTAAAGCAAAAAGACATATACATGAAAAATATGATTATGTGGTAAGATCGATACATTTTAGAATTCTTTGTAAATGTTAGACTTTATATGTTTAAATTTTGTGTTTAAGGCCGGCGCCATGGCTCACTAGGCTAATCCTCCGCCTGCGGCGCTGGTACCCCAGGTTCTAGTCCTGGTTGGGGCGCTGGTTCTGTCCCGGTTGCTCCTCTTCCAGTCCAGCTCTCTGCTGTGGCCCGGGAGTGCAGTGGAGGATGGCCCAAGTGCTTGGGCCCTGCACCCCATGGGAGACCAGGAGGAAGCACCTGGCTCCTGGCTTCTGATCAGCACAGTGTGCCGGTCGTAGAGGCCATTAAGGGGGTAAACCAGCGGAAAAAGGAAGACCTTTCTCTCTGTCTCTCTCACTGTCTAACTCTGCCTGTCAAAAAAAAAAAAAAAAAAAAGTGTTTATTTATTTGATAGAGACAGGGAGACAGGGCCTGGCTGTTGCTGGTTCGCACTCCCCAAATGCCTGCAGTGGCTCAGGCTGGGCTGGCAGTCAGGAGCCAGGCATGCAAGGCCAGTCTTTCGTGTGGGTGGCAGGGGCCCAATCCTCTCAGGGTTTGCGCTGGGCAGGAGGCTGGAGTCAGGAGTCAAAGCCAGGTACCAAATCCAGGAGTTCTCCACTGCAGGACCAGCGTCTGAGCTACGAGACTAAATGCCTGCTTTAGAATTCTTGTAAATCTTGTTTTCTCTGGTTAATTGTTTAGCATTAACAGTGTATAGCATAAATAAACATTGGCTGTTTTTCAAATTATTTCTACATTTGTTTTGTAGAAGTATTCCCTGAAATGCAAGTTTCAGATTCTGACCAAGACTGGGTGATTTTAAATTTGAATATGACTGGCTATTATAGAGTTAATTACGATCAATTAGGCTGGAAGAAATTAAAACAACAGCTTGAAAAGGATCCTAAGGTAAAGTTGCCTTTGACCCTCCTCAGTAGACCCTCGTCAGTTTGTCCTAATCAGTTTGTCCTAGCATGCCCTCTGCTCTCGGGGTGCCGGGTGCCCCACTCCCTCCCAGTCCCTCCGGATGCCGGAGAGGTTCTTAGGAAGGGCAGACTCTGGCTGAGTGTGTGGCGCTTCTGAACACTGGTCCTGCCTTCCCAAAACGGTTTCGCCCTCCCAGGTGAGAATCAGATTATATTTTCCCATTAATCCTTAGTTTTGTGATCCTTGGCAAGTTACCTAAATAGTCTGGTTCCATTTATCCACTTTAAATGGGAATATTATCATATCTTACTTTTCATGAGGATTCGAGATGATGTAGGTAAAAATACACGCCATGTCTAAGCCCACAGCAGGTACACAGTGTAAGCTCTGAAGTGTTCATTTTTGCTTCTTTTTTTTTTTTTTTTAACAGGCAGAATTAGACAGAGAGACAGAGAGAAAGGTCTTCCTTTTGCTGGTTCACCCCCTAAATGGCTGCTACGGCTGGCGCGCTGCGCTGATCCGAAGCCAAGAGCCAGGTGCTTCCTCCTGGTCTCCCATGCGGGTGCAGGGCCCAAGGACTTGGGCCATCCTCCACTGCCTTCCCGGGCCACAGCAGAGAGCTGGCCTGGAAGAGGGGCAACCAGGACTAGGTACCAGCACCGCAGGCGGAGGATTAGCCTAGTGAGCCGTGGTGCCGGCCCATTTTTGTTTCTAAAAATATTCCCACTCTTGCTCAGAGGAGAGAATTCAGTTTAAAAATATTCGATTAGTAATAGTCCAGCGTCACTTTAAATTGCAAAGCACCCATAAACCATTGTGCAGGGTGTGGACACTAAAAGGCTACCAGCTCTGCCCAGCTGGACTCTGGTGGGCTGGGCTCATGAGTCTCCGTTGATGGAGACGGGCACTGGCATGGGCTCTGCTGTGGCTTTGGCTCCACTCAGAAAACCAGAGTGGTGGACCAGCAGATCCCCAAGTGCCACTGTGTTGGAAAGTTCTGGAAGAAATGCACAGCCTGGCTGCAGAGGAGGTGGAGCAGCACCCTGGCCCGGAGCTCAGATTTCTGGTCATCCCTGGCTAGAAGTGTGGTTTCAGCCTCAGGGACCAGGTGAGGCTCCGTCGTTTAACGGGAGCAGGTGTGAGTAGACCAGTCTTACAGGGTCATCGTGAAGTCTGAGTAAGAGGACACAGGTGTTCACAGGTGGTTCACGGAGGAATTAAAAGCTAAGTGTATTTTGGCACAAAACATCTTTGAACTCCACGCAGAGTTTTCATAATGTGGGAGGCCCCTTTGCATCAGTTGAAGGCTTCCTTAAGCCTCGCACTCCTCTGAAGTTCGCTGGGATGTCGTGATAAGGTGCCACGCGCACTCTGTGTTGGGAGCCTTCTAAATCAGGCCGCCAGCTTTCATGCATTCGGCATGTGGCTAGCAATTAAAAAAAAAAAAAAATCCTCCTTGCTGGGGCTTTGAGGAAAGCTTCAAGAAGGACTTGCACTGATGCCTTCGCCCCAGTCCCTTGCAGAGTGGCCAGGCACACTCAGCCGTGCAGGCGCCAGGCCATGCCGTCATAGCAGTGGTTTCCTGAGACCACTGTAGACTTCCTTTTTGAAAAGCTCGCATAAATTATTTCTGTAGCACAATAGGTGAGCAAATGGAACACTTTTCTTAGTAGTATTTGTGTAGAAAATTTAGGCATTACACAAGGCGAGAGAGGCCTACCGGGGACGGTTAGGGCTGGCTTGCTTGATACTGGAAGGGGCCGTGGACATAGGTTCCCTCGAGGTAGCTCATGTGTGGTGCTGGGAGCAGCCAAGGGCTGACGTCGGCTGCTTTGGGCCCGCCAGTGCCAGGGGGTTGAACAGATGCCCCCAGAGTTAGGCAGGCACTCTTCTCCCCAGCCTTTCCGTGGCTCCCGAAGGCTCTGTGGGTGGCATGGTGTCGTGGTAGTGAAGTCTTCAGATGTCAGATTCTACCGAAAAGAGTCCTTCAGTGTCACCAAAATAGTGCTAAATAATACAAGCATACTTCAGAAAATTCATGGAAAAAATGGAATTTAAAACACAAGTTTCTTTTGGGGCAAGGCATTTTTGAAATCATGCAGGTTTTTTTATTTTTTTTGTAATAGACATCTTTTGTGAACTTTCTGACGCCCCCCCATGCTTGTGTAAGGCCTCCTGCACCAAATGTTCTGAGGATCCCTTGGCTGCTCTCATCCGCTTGACTGTGTGCTGTGTGTCCTGGGGAGGCCCTGGAAGTCTGGGTCCTGTTGTGTTTGTAGCATGGCGTGTTCCGGGAGTGCGCTGGCGAGCCTCCTGCCATGTGTGAGCCCCATGATTGATGTCCAGGGGGAGCGGGTATCAAAACCAGATGTGCAATGAATAAATCGTGGGCCCATTTCTAGCAGTTTAGCATTTCTCTGCAGATGAGCTAGTCCACGTGGAAGCACTTTGTAGGCAGCAGTGGTGTTTGAATTGTTACTGCTATTTGGAGCATTTTAAACCCAAAAGTTTTCTCATCTTTTCCTGCACATACTTGGCTCATGTCCCCCAGGCAATCCCTGTTGTGCACAGGCTGCAGCTGATTGACGACGCCTTTGCCTTGTCCAAGTGAGTACGCTTTTTTTTTTCTCTCACGATTCTAGTGAATATGGCCTTGTCACTGTGAACTTGATCCTTCAGTATGCGCAGGCGCTGACTACTGAAGATGAGGCTCCAGCTCTGCTCCCAGAGGAGTTCTGGAGCAGAGAGAGTCGCAGGAGACACACAGGCTGCAGAGGGAGTGTGGCGGGGGCTGGTGCTAGTGTGGGGCTCTCATCACAGCTGGCCTGCACTGTAATGCTTCACACAATTACTGGTTTTCTGTAGGCCAGATTTACTCAGAGTAAGCTATTCAATGAAATTGTCACGATGAGTTGTCTTTAAAAAGTTCATGGAAATGTGCATTATGAAAAAACTGTATGGATTTCAGAACTTCTAACAGCGAGATAAGCATATTTTCATTGTGTTTTCCACACAATTTTTGAGAGAACTTCATATAATTAATTACGCACTTTCTTCTTTGGGCTGTCCCATCTCTGCAGTAGAGAGCTACTTCCTTGGCCCCTTTTTCTTTACTACTTTTTCCTGGTGACCTGCAACTCGTTTTCTTGCTCAGTGCTCGCTGGAGCTCCTGTCTCAAGTCCTGGCGCCCTTCCACGGTCAGCCGCCCTGTCCTGGAAACTGTGGCTTCCTGAGCCCCTGGTGGGCAAAGCTGGTTCTGCTCCTGTCTCTGACGTCTCTCCTCCTGCTGGGAGCATCCATGGATGTGCCTTTTCCGTCTGTCTTTCCTTTGGGGAGCCCGTTCATTCTTACTTCGTCTCTGTGCAATGCCCAGGAGAGGGAAAGTTACTTGAAAAGTGTTTCTGTTTCTGAATTGCTCTGTGTCAGCTTCTCCTTTTGTGTTAGAGTCAGCACTAACTTCCTAGCACCCAAACTTGAACCCTCAGCGATAACCTTGACTCCTTCCCTTGCTCCGTCTGCCTTGCTCAGCCGGTCACCAGGCCTCGGCTGTTCATTGTTGGGCGTCTCTGGGTTTTTGCCCCGCATAGTGCCTGCACTCCTTCCACACTAAGCCAGGCGCTCGTCGTCCTTTGTCTGCCCACTGCATTCACCTCTAGATTTCTGCCTTTCCAGTCCCATTCCCTCTTCGTAAGCGCTGTCGCAGCACAATCTTATGCTTCACTTTCATGACGTTACCCCAGTTGCTGAATACTCAAAGGACCCTTCCGCCAAATCTGGACTCTTGACCTTGACCTTTAAGGACACCTGCAGCTTTGAGCTCCCTTGTTAGCTTCCATCTGTCCCTGTGCACAAAAGAAATCCTCACTTCTGCTGGCTTGGTCTGCGCATCACACTGATTTCCTCTCCGTCTTTACCCTTTCTCTTGCCCCGGTTCAGTCCCTCCTGGCCCACGTTGCTTTTTACAAGTGCCTCCTCCTCCAGGACGCCTTCGCTGATGTCTCCATCTTTTGCCCGGCCTTCTCCTCAGTTTTCCATGTGCATGTTTTTCCTACTGGTGCTGTATTATCACTGCCTTTTCCTGAGACCGTCCAGTCACAGCTTCTTGGACGTAAGTTGCAATTACAGGCAAGCGCAGTGTCATGGTTGCTAATTTGTGTGCCCGCCAGGAGCTGGCAGAGCGTTACAAAGAGGATGACTCAGTCTGTCTTAAGCAGAAAGCATGCTGTCATGGGAATGCATACTAAATACACAAATGCTTTCTTGTTCAATAATCGATCCAGCATTTGACCTGGATTTTCCTATAGCTAGGTGTGTGGGCCCTTGAGTGTTCCCAACTGAAGTTCATGTGTCTGCCAGCATTGCTTGGGTTCCCTCTTGCCTGTTCAAGGGGACCTTTGCCTTCCAGCCTCTTGTTATTTGCTTAACTTACTGAAGTCACATACGAGAGTGTGCAAATCATGTAGCAAGTGAAGGTTTTTTGAGTGTGTGCTTTTTAAAACCAAACAGAAACAATTATATTGACATTGAAACGGCACTTGATTTAACCAAGTACCTTGCTGAAGAAGATGAAATCATAGTGTGGCGTGCAGTCTTGGTAAACTTGATAACCAGCGATCTTGTTTCTGATGCGAGCAACTATGATATGTACCCATTCTTAAAGGTAACTCCATGCTTTGTTACGTAGTTTTTCAATAAATCTCCTCTTCCTCTTTTCCTATTCTAGCCAGCATCTGTGATAGGTCTCCCCAAAGTAACATTCTATTAGTTCCATATGTATATTGAACAGCACTGCTGATTGTTTTTAGAGGAAAATACCATAGTCATAGACCTGGACTGGGAGATGAGTGTGAGTGAAATTTGGAAGAGGATTTCATTCCTGGTGATGTGAGGTGTGTCCCAGAAACCAAAGTGGATATCAATGGAATATTTTTTTAAGAAAAGATTTATTTATTTGTGTCAGAGTCACAGAATAAGAAAGCAACACACAGACAGAGACATCTTCAATCCGCTAGTTAATTCTTCAGATGGCTGCAACGGCTTGGGCTGGACTAGGTCGGAGCCAGGAGCCAGGAGCTTCTGCCAGGTCTCCCACGTGGGGGGCAGAGGCCCATGAACTTGAGCCATCCTCTGCTGCTTTCCTAGGTGCATTAGCAGGGAGCTGGATTGGAAGTGGATCAGCTGGACACAAACCAGTGCCCATAGGGAAACCTGTATTGCAGGCAGCGACTTTACCAGCTGCGCCACAACACTGGCCCATAATATTTTTTCTTACAGAAAAGGATATCAGCAACTATTCCTTTAATTGTCAGGCAAATAGGATGACTTTAAGCAGCTTTATCTGTGTAAATGCCCTGCTTTGATCTACCCAGCATTTGAAAGCAGAGGAGTAAGTTACAGAACGTGTGCAAGTTTGCAGCTGCTTTGATGTTAGGTGAAAGGGGACGTTAGCTTTAACCAAGGAAGACGTGACATGCCATCATAAATGAAATAACTGAACAGGGCGAGGGCTGCGCTCTGAGATCCTGCAGAGTGATCACAGGGAGGAAGGTGCAGGGTAAAACCACGACGCTGGGAAGGGGCCGCGGCCGAGCCAGGCCTGGTGGTGCCGAGAGCAGGGAGCTCCTGGGTCGTTCTGAGGGTGACGCTGCAGCACCTCGGGCCCAGTCTCCCGCTTTCCCTGCCCAGCGTACAAACAGCAGCCTGGCTGCATGGGAGTGCTGGCCTCCAGGCGGCCCTAAGTGTGAGCTTGGTAGGCTCACAGACAGCATCGAATGGCTCATTTGTGTGGAGAATAAAAGCTATTTTATTTTTAGAGAATTTCAGCGAGTAGAATCTAGAGCTCTGCTGGTCAGGTCTAGCCTCTGGAACTGCACGGTCACCAGCTGGGAGTGGTGGGAGGGGCTTTGTTTCAGACTCAGAGCTTCCCTCGTCCTGGCGCAGCTCAGTTGTGCCTGCGTTTTGATAGCTTATACACTTAGTGCAGGAGTTTTAAAGTAGGCAGGTTAATTGTTTTATATGGTACATTTTTCTATTTTACAGAATACTGGAAATGTTTGGTGTGGTATTTCATGCGTTATTTAATCTTGATATTCACATTGCTATTATAAACAACATTTTACATAGGCAGTAAATCTAGAGAGGTTAAAATATAAGCCAATTATACATTTAAATAAGAGATTTACTAACACAACCCTAACAGAAATAATCCCTGAAGAACTATTTGTCACTTTTCTATTAACATCTTTTCAAATAAATACAAATACAGTGAACATTCGGTGTTGAGAGTTAGAACTGACCGTGTATTTTTGTTGTTGTTTATAGAAGTATCTATTAAAGAGACTTAAGTCAATATGGAGTATTTATTCAACTATAATCCGTGAAAATGTGGCAGTACTACAAGATGACTCTTTGGCTCTGTAAGTATTTTTAAGCAGTGATAATTGAATAAAATGATTCTTACTAGTAGATGGGCTTTTGGAGTCATAAAGTCGTAGCACCTGCTGTTCACTGAGGGGTTTGTGTGCCCCTTGTCTGGGGCTGGCGGGCCACTGCATCCTCACAGAGATGGTGGTGTGGCTTCTTCATCTGCCTGCACAGCGCGTGTGTGCACACACAGCGGCAGTAGCTCAGTGTTCTCAGAGTATAGGCCGCTGGCTGAAATTGCAGGTGTGCCCTCCTCTGGGTCAAGTGGGCCAAGCAAAGCGACCTTGGATCAGTGAGTTGAAAGGCCAAGGGAGGGCCCCTGGGGAAAAGGCCCCTTGGTAAATTGTGCTAAGGAGCATTCTGCCGTAATGGAACTACGCTGAGGTCGGTTGACAGTGCTGTGTGCCAGTGGCTTGTGTGTGAGCAGGAGGAAGTACCGGAAATGGTTTTCAAATCTTTGGTGAGGGAAGTAAGCATCTGCCACGGCACGGGGGAGGAGGTGGAAAGCCGAGTGGGGCTGTGGTCCCTCTGGCCTGCCTGGGACGGAGGGTTGCATGTGTGGGTGGCCTGCACACGCAGAGAGGGAATCTGTCACCAACAGCAGTGGCAGGGCGTGTCCACAACCCCTGGTCAGTGGCAGGCCAAAATCAATGAGCCCAGGGAAGAAGCACAGCACGTCCAGGGTGTGAGGGTCTGTCTAGTCCTGCCCTTCTGCGAGGGTAGAGGTTTTAGCACCGGAGCTCGTGCCTGGAGGGACAGTGCTGAAAGGGCAAGTGGGTGGAAGCCTGGAGGCCCAGCTGGGGTAGAGGGAGGCAAATCGTGTGCATGGGCATCAGGCGGCACACATGCTAGCCAGCCGTGTGCCTGTGCGTGGCTTTCCCGAGCTGCTGCAGTGGCCTCTCTTGTAGCATTGTTGGACCTGTTCTTTGCTGGGGAGTTGCCTTGTGGGGCCTGACAGCGCTTCCACAGAACTTTGTCTTTATGTATCCAGTGTGGGTGGTGGGGGTGGGGTGGGTGCAGAGAGGCAGTGAGCATGTGCAGACGCCCAGAGTTATCTCCAGAGGACCTCCGCCCTGGACATTCCACTTCTGCTTATCAGGAGGTCAGGCCACAGGGTGGAGAAACAGAGGCTTAGCTCTGGCACTTCCTGGAAGCCGATGGTCAGTTTAGGTTCTTTACCCTGAGCCCGAACGTGGAGAGGGTAGGGAGACGCCCATGGCAAGGCATCATGCGCCCAGATTTCTTCTTCTTCGCTGTGTTCTTTTGTACTGAATTAATATTGAGCCACATTGCTCAGCTGCAGAACCAAAGCAAACCAAAACCTCTGTTCTGTTCTTGGACATGCAGGTCAGAGGCGGAGACAGATGCCCAAGCAAGGGAGAGTGAACTCTCCACGGGGAGAATGAACCGTCCTCTCCCCTGTCTTGAGTAGAGAAAGAACTTTGTTTTTAAGGGTATTACATCAGATACTCTGAAGTCATCTCTCTATGCATAAGGCATTGTTGTAAAAGGGAGGAAAGTAATTGACGGCAGATGTGGGGAGTGCGCCCGTGTGTGTGAGGGGTGAGGGATGGCAGTGATTTATTTCTCACTTTAAAAAAGGCTGCCCAGAGGGGCTTTTTTTTCTGTTGCTTGAGAGCTTTTCAGCAAATAATTTTGTGAGTCTTAAATTCGTTTGTCATCCACAAAAGCTATTTTCTTTAACAAACCTGATGTTATTGGAAGGATCCATCCTGTTATGAAACACACATTCTTGGAGGCAGAGAAATTGAAGGTGGTAATGAAAATAAACTTTTGCTTCGGGTTTTCCTTCCAGAATGTCCCTGGAGAAACTCTTTGAAAGTGCGTGTTGGTTGGGCCTTGAGGACTGTCTTCAGCTGTCCAGAGAGCTCTTCAGAAAATGGATGAGCCATCCCGAGGATGTGTGAGTGTCACTCGGTAGTCCTCGCTCGCGTCCTGCTTTGGCACCAGCGATCCCTCCTGTGGGAGTGGTAGTTTGGCCTTCACTCACTCAGTCTTTGTCTTCTCTTCTTTTCAAATACTCCTTTCTAAAAAACCAGTTGCCTGCTGTGGGTCTGTGTGCAGCAGCAGGTTTGAAGTTAGACGGCGAGTTCTCTGGGGCTGCCTGCCAGGGCTTCTCCAGTAACTCTGGCACGGTTGGGTCAGGAGGTTCTTCATGGTGGGGCATCTTGGTTCCGTCTGTAAGTGCATCGAGGCGTCTCCCTGGGAACTCGTGGTGTTCCTCAGAGCAGGGCCCGTGACTGCCTTTTTGGCTTCGTTGCTGTAATGAACCCCCTCAGCTGGACTCTTTGTTAATGGGGCCAGGAGATGCGAGACCACACTGTCACACTCACTGAGGAGCCCAAGTCTCCTCTCTCGTCAGCCTGTTTCTGAGTGCGTGGATGCTCTGATGTCACGGCTCATGAACGTCCTCAGTTGTTTCCCGCGATGCCTGCTTCTGACCCTTAGTACGGAGATCTCAAGTGGACATTTGTGCTTCTAAACATGCAGCAACCTGGACAAACCTGTGACCTTACTGTGTGCATCTCATCCCTCACAGAATACCAAGTCCAATTAGAAGTGCGGTTTTATGTTACGGCATTGCCTCGGGAAGTGATGAAGAGTGGGACTTTGTGTTCAATTTCTACACTAATAGCACGGAGGAAGAGGAACGGATACAGTTTGCTTACGCCATGAGCTGCAGTAGAGACCCATGGGTACTTAACAGGTGATTACAGCCAGCTTGCCTGGAAGGTGTCTGGGGTGGGGGTGCAGTGATGGCGTGAACCAGGGGGAGAGCAGAGAGGTGCAGAGGGACCGGCGTCTGGCACCGCGGCGTAAGCCATGCCTGCAGTGCTAGCATCCTGCATTAGAGCACTGGCTCGTGTTCCGGCTGCTCTGCCTCCAATCCAGCTCTCTGCTGCTGCGCCTGGGAAGGCAGTGGAAGACTCCCAAGTGCCCAGGCCCGTGCCACCCCCGTAGGAGACCCAGATGGAGTTCCAGGCTCCTGGCGTTAGCCTGGCCCAGTGTGGCCCAGCCCTGGCTGTTGTGGCCATTTGTGAAGTGAACCAGCAGATAGGAGGATCTGTCTCTCTCTCTTCTTTTATCGTGGGCTCCCCTCCCTGCCCCCCATCCCCATTGTGCCACCTTGCCTTTCAAATAATCTTTAAAAAAAAGAAAAATGCTAATTTGAATATGACAATTAAAAATTGTGTGGGGGCAGGCGCTGTGGCTCACTTGGTTAATCCTCCGTCTGCAGTGCCGGCATCCCATATGGGCGCCGAGTTCTAGTCCCGGTTGCTCCTCTTCCAGTCCAGCTCTTTGCTGTGTCCCGGGAGTGCAGTGGTGGATGGCCCAGGTGCTTGGGCCCTGCACCCTCATGGGAGACCAGGAGGAAGCACCTGGCTTCTGGCTTCAATTGGTGCAGCGCCAGCCATGGTGGCTATTTGGGGAGTGAACCAATGGAAGGAAGACCTTTCTCTTTGTCTCTCTCTCTCACTGTCTGTAACTCTGTCAAATAAATAAAAAAAAAAAAGTGTTTTTGTGCATCACTGAGAACTGTACAATTTTAATTCCATTTATTTAAGGTAACTCTTTATGTTGGAATTTTTCTTTTACTCATTCAGTTTTTGCCAATGCACTTTTGCAGGTATTTGGAATATGCCATCATTGTATCTCCATTTGCTTTTAATGAGACAAATGTGATTGAAAACGTGGCTGCCTCCGAAGTTGGCCGGTACATTGCAAAGGACTTTTTAGTCAACCACTGGCAGGCTGTGAGTGAAAGGTAAGAAAGGGACCAGGACCCTCTGGGGTGGAGGGCGCTGGTGAGATGTTGGAGCCCAGCTGTCGTCTGAAGCCCTTTGCAATAAACAGAAAAGTATTTCCGCTGTTTACTGTCATCACAAGCTGGCTGTGTTATGGAAGAGAGAGTCAGTGACCCCAGCTCCAGCTTTGTTTGAAAATGGATTTCACTGGCTTTGCCACCTCAGTTTTCTTGTGCCACCAGCACGTCTGTCCTAAGAGACGTGGATTAGAGCAGGCTGTGCTTGGGTGTGTTTGGTATGTGGGGACGTCACGCATTCTCTTAATCCGATGGCTCCGTTGCGTTATCTTTAAGAAACAGCAGTGCTTGTTACAGCCTCAGAGTGGAGGCTGCTGGGGTCTTATTTGTCAGATTCCCTTTATACATCTGGATTTTGGATTCCTGAAATGTTTATATTTTTCACATTTTAAGAGTAAATCTCGGGCCGGCGCCGCGGCTCAATAGGCTAATCCTCCACCTAGCGGCGCCGGCACGCTGGGTTCTAGTCCCGGTCGGGGCGCTGGATTCTGTCCCGGTTGCCCATCTTCCAGGCCAGCTCTCTGCTGTGGCTGGGGAGGGCATTGGAGGATGGCCCAAGTACTTGGGCCCTGCCCCCATGGGAGACCAGGATAAGTACCTGGCTCCTGTTTTAGAATCAGCGGGGTGCCCAAGCGCCCATTGCCCCACCCATGGCGCCCATTGGAGGGTGACCCAACGCAAAAAGAAAGCCCTTTCTCTTTTTGTCTCTCTCTCTCACTATCCATTCTGCCTGTCAAAAAAAAAAAAAAAAAAAAAAAAAAAGAGTAAATCTCACTTCCCACCCCTTTTGGGTAAAATACATATTAACAACATGCAGGAATCAGATAGCATGCCCTCAATGGGGGGGGGGGGGGGTGTCTTTTTAGAACAGGGCTTAACCTCGCATTCTCAAAAGCCCAGAGTGAATGTAGGACATCCTAAACCATACTGTAGGGTCCTGGTCACATCTGGTAGATGGAGCAGATACACAGTCGCCAACTGAGGGTCCAAACTCCTGAAACACTTGAACACCCCAGAGATACTGGAAGGTGTTTTTTGTAAATCAGTTCCTTCTTTGGGATAAAAGGCATATTCAGGGCACAAATGTTTAAGAATGTGGCTATGTTTTCGTGTAGAAAAAATAATGGAACGTTTTGTGTTTACAAATTAATTGAATACCTTCCTACCACCAGAAAGCACATTGTCGGTGCTATGAAGGTGTTAAGGTGTTCAGTGAAAACTTACAACTGACATTGGCAGTGTGGAGCGGAAGCTCCTGGCCCGTGGCACACCCGGGCGTGCCGCGGTGGCGGTCTGGCCTTGTCTCTTATCTGAGATCTCTCTCATTCTTGGTTCATTGCTGTAGACGCCCTGCAGTCCTTCCATGTCATGGGATCCCCGAGACCCTGGGGATCTCATGTTGTGTTTTTGCTTACGCCGGTAAAGACAGTTCTCCGAAGCCCTTCCCCGCCTGCGGCCCGGGAGCTGCGCTGTAGAGTGCAGTTGTTTGTCCGGTGCCCTTCTCCTGAGGCATCTGAGACAGCTCGCTGCTGTAGTCAGAGGCTGTCGTCTGCAGAATGACAGGTGTCCCATTGGGCCAGTTCTGTTGAAAGATTCTTCAAGGTGTCCCTGGGGTGTCAGGTGACTGGGCCAAGTGGTTTGCGTCTCATTTGAACAGAATGGAAGCTCTTCGTTCTCCGAGAGAACAGGGCTGTCAGCAACAGGGCCGGAGGTTAACGGGGCTGGTCACAGCGGCTGTTTGGCTGGAACGTAGCACCCCAGAAAGGAGGAAGTGGGGCTGGGAGGAGGAAGGGCTGCCAGACCTGGAGTGCCACGTGCAGCAGACTTCCTCTGTGTGTCAGTCCATGGTCGGCTCCCTTCTGGGCCTGTGCATTGTGTCAGGCACACACTGGCTCTGCCTGATGGCACCGCTGGGGACAGTTCTGGAACTGGGGTGTGGGGAGACTTACCCAGAGCAGGACAGTAGAGGGCTGGCTTTTTAATCTCAGAATGATGGGGAGTGTCTTCACCACTTTCTCCTGTCCTTTTGTTTACTGTGTTTTAGCTTTTTATTATCCATGAGAGACATGGTGTGTCACAGAGTTAGGGACACAGAAGCTAGGACCAGGTCAGTCTTGGGTCGAAGAGACAACTGAATCCAAGGCCTTTCACAGCATTTTTAGCAGAAGTTTCAGTTTGCTCATTTCCAGAAGGTTCAAGATGACTTGATACTGTGCTGCGTGCAGTGCTGGGCACACAGTAAGTGCCATTATCATTAATATGACCTTACTAGACTGATGCACCCATGTATTTTATTGTGATTCCCTTCCTTAAGGGGTGTTTTTCCTCTTCTCAGTATTGTCACTTTCTGGTCTGTGACATTGGTGACATCCCTCAGCAGTGCCATGGTTAGAGTGAATACACGTGCCTAAAACTTGGTCCTTTAAATAACTTGTGTGGGACTGGGCGTTTGTATAGCAGTGAGCCTCGCCTTTGGACACCTGCGTCCTGTACTGCAGTGCCTGGTCCGAGTCCCAGATCTGCTTCCAATTCCAGCTTCTGCTAACGTGCACTCTGGGAGGCAGGAGGTGATGGCCACCCCACTGGACACCAGGGTAGAGTTCTAGGCTCCTGGCTTAGCCTGGCCCAGCTCTAACTGCTGTGGGCATTTGGGGAGTAAACCAGTGGCTGGAGGATATCTGTCTGTTTCTCTCTGTCTTCCTGTCTCTCCCCTCTTTCTCTCTCTCTTCCCCTCTCTCAAATAAAAATGAAATAAAGTAATATACTTGCATATATAACAATTACTCTTTTCACAACCACCTGTGAAATAATTACCATTAAAAAGTCTAAATAAAGGTTGGCGCTGCGGCTCACTAGGCTAATCCTCCACCTGCGGCGCCGGCATGCCAGGTTCTAGTCCCGGTTGTCCCTCTTCCAGTCCAGCTCTCTGCTGCGGCCGGGAGTGCAGTGGAGGATGGCCCAAGTGTTTGGGTCCTGTACCCCATGGGAGACCAGGAGGAAGCACCTGACTCCTGGCTTTGGATTGGCACAGCGCTGGCCGTGGCGGCCATTTGGGGGTTGACCCAACAGAAAGAAGACCTTTCTCTCTGTCTCTCTCTCTCTCACTGTCTAACTCTGCCTGTCAAAAAAAAAAAAAAAAAACAAAACACAAAACAAACAAACAAAAACAATTAAGTAAATTGCCCAAAGTCTATGTCTAGAGAATGAAAGAACTCGGGTCCTTTGGCTCTGATCTTATTTCCTGCTACGTAAGGAAATGTTAGCATCTTATTTGTTGGTTTTATGAGAGCACCCCTGGAGATAATGCAGTCGGTAATAAGTTCTTATCTGGCACCTCAAGTGTCTATATTTTTGACATCTTTCTATCTTTTAAATATTTTGAATTGCCAATAGTTGTTCAAAGGTTTGATGCTTATGTAGAAAGCTAATTATATGATGTGATTTATTTATCTAAATTCTAGAAAGAAATTTTTAAGTGTAGTAAATGAGTTGGCTTTTCATTTGATTTTTAAAAAATTAATAAACTTTGCTTTTTAGAGCAGTTTTAAGTTCATACCAAAAGTTGATAGCAGAGTTCCTGTATACCCTCTGTCTACCCTGATACCCAGCCTCTCCCAGTGTCAGCGTCCTGTGCCAGATAAACCCACCCCAGCGTGTCACTGTCACCCAGAGTCCATGGTTCACGTTGGGCTTCACTCTTGGTGTTGCCCATTCTGGGGTCTGATGTGTACACGTGTGGTGACACGTGTGCACCACCACTGCACGTGCAGAATCCTGCTACTACCCCACGAATCCTGCCTGTTCATCCCTTCCTCCCACCAATCCCAGTCAGCAGCTTTGTAAGGAAAATACTCGAATAATCTACCTCTTCTTCCAGAAGCCTTTATTCTCTGTTTACATGTGTTGAGCTCTGGACTCTGGCTTGGGCTTGGCTGTGGGAGCTGGAACCAGGATGAGCCCGAGCCGAGGGGCTTTGCAGCAGCCCTGTCAGGCGCTGTCTTGCTGGGGTCCTGAGCTTGGAAAGACAACCCCATGTCTGTGGGTGAGGGCCAGTCTGGCAGAGGCAGAAGCAGCTCACCTAGATGCAAAAATAAAAAACAAAACAAAAAACAAAGAAAATCCACATTGTCTCCTGTCCAGGTCTGGCCTGTGCGTGGAGTGAGCCCCACTGTGGCTTTGACGACGCCCCTCTCCTGTCTGAGGGGACTCCAGGTGTTACTTCTCACAGTGACACAGGCAGGCTTGCAAATGCCATCTGCACACCAGGGTCCTGTGTTGGCGCTGAGAACACAGCCAGTGCTGGTCTAAGGTCTTCTGCCCCCCTCCACTGGGCTGAGAATTCTTCCCAGGAAGGCTAATCCAGGATGTATGTCGGGATACTTGATGCAGTACTGTTACTTTTGGCTTGGTTCGGCCCCTCACTCCCACGTTCAGGGCAGTGCAATGGTTGCTGTGGTGGACTTAGTTGTTGGCCCAGACAAGGTCTCTTGAATACTGATGCCATCGGGGAAGGCTCCCCCGACCTTCCGGGTGACAGAAAGTGAGCATGCGGCTGTGGGGAGAGCCTGTGAAGGAACAGCCACAGGGAGGAAGCCGGAGTGTTCTGTGACTTTGTACCATAGTGGTGGGAATGACATCTGAGCCTTCTTCCCTTGGTAAAGTGGACGTCACAGCCTACAGGAAAACCCTAGTTTATTTGAGTGCAGAATTCAAGACGAGCATCTCCAGCGTCACTGGGCTGAAATAACTCTACCATCTTCGCACTGAACAGCAGGTTTTCTCCAGACACTGCCGTGTTGCCTCAAGTCCCAAGACTGGAAACCTAAAGTCATTTTCACTGTTGCTTTCATACTTGACAATGGGGAACGCTCAGCAGGAACAGGCAAATAGGAGCACAAGCAACCGGAGACGTAGTGAAGTGGAGCCGCTGGGACCCACGCCCTTGGGGCCCCTTTCCTGGAGCAGGCTGGGTGCCTGGTGTCCCCATGCTTGCCTAGTGGCCAAGTTCACCACAGGGAGTCAGACCCGGCCGGTAGGAAATGTGAGGAAGGGGAGCAGTCGTAGGCCGAAGTCTGAGCTGTGGCCACAAGGAAGACACCGGTGCTGCCTGTTTTTGAAAGGCTCTCATCTTTTTTTTTTTTTTTTTAAAGATTTATTTTATGTATTTGAAAGACAGAGTTACAGAAAGAGGTAGAGACACACAGAGAGAGTGAGGTCTTCCGTCTGCTGGTTCACTCCCCAGATGGCTGCAACAGCCAGAGCTGCACGGATCCGAAGCCGGGAGCCAGGAGCTGCTTCTGAGTTTCCCACACAGGTACAGGGGCCCAAGGACTTGGACCATCTTCTGCTTTTCCAGAGAGCTGGAGAGGAAGAGGAGCAGCCAGGACTCGAACTGGCGTCCATATGGGATGCCAGCGCTTCAGGCCAAGGTTTTAACCCGCTGCACCACAGTGCCAGCCCCGAAAGGCTCTCATCTTTACTTCACTTAGGAAGTATTGGAATGGGGGTAGAGTAAACGATTTGTAATGTATGTATTTTTTGTTCGGTAATATTTCAAAGATGTTTCTCTCGAGAGAGAGATAAGTCATTTCTGTCTCAAACTGAACTCCTTGTGAAGTTGACAAAGGAAGGAAACATGCCAGGCACTCTAGTGGTGCTCCCACATGAGAGCACTGCAAACATTTCACAGAAAAATGGAATTGAAAGATAAATTTATGGGGCTGGTGCTGTGGTACAGTGGGTTGATGCCCTGGCCTGAAGTGCCGGCATCCCATATGGGCACCGGTTCTAGTCCTGGCTGCTCCTCTTCCTCTCCAGCTTTCTGCTGTGGCCTGGGAAAGCAGTAGAAGATGGCCCAAGTCCTTGGGCCCCTGCACCCGCATGGGAGACCCGGAAGAAGCTCCTGGCTCCTAGCTTCAGATTGGTGCAGCTCTGGCCGTTGCGGCCAGTTGGGGAGTGAACCAGTGGATAAAGACCCCCCCCCCCCACCTCTCTCTGTAGCTCTGACTTTCAAATAAATAAATTTTTTTTTTCCTTTAAAGATAAATATAGAGACAGGTCTTTGGCCTAGTGATTAAGATCCCAGTTAGGACACCCAGCCCCATTAGAACACCTGGTTCCAGCATTGGCCCTAGCTCCTGACTCCAGCTTCTTGCTAACACAAATCTTAGGACACAGTGGCGATAGCTCAAGTCTGATAGGGTCTCTGCCACCAGGTGGAAGACGTGGATTCAGTTCCCAGCTCTGGCTTTGGCCTGGTCCGGCTCTGGCTTTGGCCTGGTCCGGCTCAGGCTTGTGGGAATTTGGAGGGTGACCCAGCTGATTTTGGAGCTCCCTCGTGCTCTCTCTCCTGTTCTGTCTTTCTCTCTCTTGTTTGGTTGCAAAACATTTGAAATTCATGCATAGTTTTTTCCATAATATATGTTCTTTCATGAACTTCTTCAAGATACTAAAAAGCATGGGTTTCAAAATGTGTTACACCAAAAACTGCATTTTCCATCAACCTTTTGAAGTGCCCTCCAGAATCTATTACTCCTGATTTTCACACTTTGAAAGTTGCCCAGAGCAGCTTCAGTTCCAGGCCTGCCCGGGACGGCTTTCTCCTGTCTGGTGGAGAAGCATATGCAGCGCCCTAGGCAGGTTCCTGTTTGCTGTTGTTGTTTGTAAGCTTGGAACTCAGTTTCTCTCGACCTCACATTTCTTGTGTCATCTCACAGGTTTTTTCTTGCCGGCCTAATAAGCTGGAGAGTGAGAAATGCATCCCCTCTCCCTGCACAGGTTAGCTGGCTGGAGGCCTGCAGAGTGTCCCTCTTGTCCTCCCTGCTCACATAGACACAGGTTAATTGACAGCTGGGAGCTAAAAAAAACAGCAAAAGCAAATTTTCTGTCACCCTTATTTGTACCAAAGTTAACTCTTAAAATTTTTAACTCCAAATATACATATTTGAAGTAAATCAATGGCATGTGTTATCGAGGTGGTTCAGCCGTTCCTTGGTTCCGTCCATTATAACAATTTCATTTTAATTTTTCTTCCTCTTTTAATGCACCCATGGTCCTTTATTTGCCTTTTTACCTACAGCAGCACTTCAGACAGGTATGTATCTGCTGCTTCTTCGCACTCCTTGATAGGATTGTGTAAAACGAGTCTCGGCTGTCTGGCAGCACTGAGCTAAAGGGGATGTTGCGGCGACGGCCCCTGCGGATCCACGGAGTACGCAGGATGCAGCGTGGTTCCCAGATCTCTCTCCTCCCACCAAAATGCACAGTAAAAAAAGCGCAGAGCAGAATGCTGACTGCACCTTCAGCATGCTTTTGCAGCTCTGAAATGGACCCCATGTTGACTGCTGTTTCTTAAGGGCAGAATTTGCAGGTGTGTTTGCTCCCTTGCAAGTCATCCTACTGTGAGACACGCAGTATGCAGTCTGACTGTCTCCTTTAAGAAGTCAGCTAAGTTTCGTCTCATAAATACAAACCCATAAATGACAGAACAGTGTTCACCCCCCGCCTTCTCCCTGACTGTGACTGACACATGTGGCTGTGTAACACGATTTCTCATCAAGGGATTCTGGGGACTTGCTAAGGATAAATAAACATTTTCAGTATTTTGAATTGAAAAAAAAGTCAACATAATTTTTGTTTTTCAGAGGAGTTTTTATAGTCAAAACTATGTTACATAAATCAGCATTTAACTCTAAGTATTTTTTGAGTGTTAATAGAATTTTCTACGTTAATAGATTTTTCTATTTAAAGATTCAGCTAATCTAATTCACATGTTTTTGCTTGGATGTGGGCGACTGGAATGAACGGGGGCTGTGTACTGAGCTTTGCCCGGCACACCCTTCCCACTCTGCTCTTATGCTCCGCAGGTACGGCGCACACATCTTGGTTACTCTCATGTACGCGATCGGGAGAACAATAAGTACAGATTCACAGATCGCAGAGGTAAGTACTTTAAATAGCGGAAAATACAGTGCTAGATTTGAAACTGCTTTCTATGTCATCAGGACGTGGTAGAATTAAACATAACTTTCGGATTACCACCTGTCTGTTCCTCCTGATGCTATTAGCACTGTGAAAGGAGTGCTTTGGGGACCGGCCTTTTGGCGCAGTGGGTTAAACTGCGGGTGGCATCCTGTATGAGTGCTGGTTCAAGTTCCGATTGCTCCACTTGCAAGCCAGCTGTCTGCTAATGTGCCTGGGAAAGCAGTGGAGGATGGCCCAAATGCTTGGGCCCCTGCACCCAAGTGGGAGACCCAGAAGAAGCTCCTGGCTCTTGGATTTGGCCTGGCCCAGCCCTGGCTGTTGCAGCCATCTGGGGAGTGAACCAGCAGATGGAAGGTCTCAGTCTTTCTCTCTCTCTCTCTCTCTCTCTCTCTCTCTCTCTCTTTCAAATAAATAACTAAGTCTTAAAAAGAAAGAAGTGCTTTCCGATCCGATGCTGGCCCTGACGTGGAGATGGCTGTGCCCTTGGAGGGCTGGTTGTCATTCTCTTCCACCAGGTCCTTCTCCCACTCTGGTCTTTCCCCTCGCCCATCCTCCCATTGCCCTGCTCCCAAAGCTTCAGGAAGTCTTTACAGATTTAAAATCTCCTGCTTCAGAACAGACCCGTTTCACAGGGTCTGGGTTCAGTTCCCTGCTGTGGCTCCCCTGGGCTCCATGAGTGCACTGGGAGCGCTCACACAGCTGGGCTCCAGCCACCCACGAGGGAGCCTGCACCAAATTCCCAGACATGCAGGGAGTGAACTAGCTGCTTTCTGTTTCTCTCTCACCAAGAAAGACAGGAAGGAAGGAAAAAAGGGAGGAAAGAGAAGGAAGGGAGGGAGAGAGGGAGGGAGGGAGGATGGATCTTTGATTAGCGCATGAAGCTCTTCATGATCTGGGCCCTGGCTCGCTCTGACTTCATTTTCCCCATCTCAGCCCTGAGTGTCAGGGAGCAGGAGACACAGCTAGGTTCATGGCCCTCCCCAGTACCTCTGCTCTAGCCGCGCTGCACCACTTAGAGAATTTCTTCCCGTCTCACACGGCTTGGCCTCTTCAGTTTCAGGAGCACTCAGCCTTGTCTGGGGCGCCTCCCTCATCCCTTTCGGCTGGATCACTCCTAACCTTCCTCATCCCTCTTTTTTATTTATTTATTTATTTATTTATTTTTTATTTTTTTGACAGGCAGAGTGGACAGTGAGAGAGAGAGACAGAGAGAAAGGTCTTCCTTTGCCGTTGGTTCACCCTCCAATGGCCGCCGCGGCCGGCGCGCTGCGGCCGGCGCACCGTGCTGATCCGATGGCAGGAGCCAGGAGCCAGGTGCTTTTCCTGGTCTCCCATGGGGTGCAGGGCCCAAGCACCTGGGCCATCCTCCACTGCACTCCCTGGCCACAGCAGAGGGCTGGCCTGGAAGAGGGGCAACCGGGACAGAATCCAGCGCCCCGACTGGGACTAGAACCCGGTGTGCCGGCGCCGCTAGGCGGAGGATTAGCCTAGTGAGCCGCGGCGCCGGCCCCTCATCCCTCTTTAATAAGTGATTCCTAGCTTTCCCTCAGGATCCTGCTGCAACCGCCCATTCTAGGAATTTTGTCAGTGGCCACTTTATACTCTTCCTCCATGCTCCCGTGTCGCCCACGTCTGCCTTTATCCCAGTCCTCAGCACATTGTGCAGTGGTCAGGGTGGCACTGGCTGTTGCCTGAGGCCAGACGAGCTCCTTGTGCACTGAGAGCACACTGCAGCCTGGCTCTATTCTGGAATGTTCTGGAATGTAACGCAGGGCTTCCATTTCTTGGCTTTGATTCTCTTTGGGCTGAATTCTTCTGGTCTGCGCTCTCTCTACACGGAGGCAAGGGTGGCTCCTGGCTCACATGACCCCTGACGCTCTCAGCTGCAGAAGGACGGAGCATTTCGTATGAGCTTTAAGTGCCCACTGAAAGCTCTGGTTGATCCTGCTTGGGCTGTGTGCACCAGGCCTTGTGAGAGGGGTGTGCACTGGGCCTAGCCGGGTCCTGTGCTGGCATTTAGAGCTAGCCCCACCCAAACCTCAGGCTCTGGGCATGGCACAGGGTGCAGGAAGCCAGTAGGGGGTACTGAAACCAGAGAGTAAATGGAGAGGACACACACAGGTGTACGAAGTGAATCAGGAACGGAATAGAAATACAAATCGGTCATGTGCTTATTATCAGGAGAGGGAGGACCGCTGTCCTGACGGCTTTGGCCTGGGTGAGGTTGAGCTGTCAAGACCCTGGGACTCCCTGCACGAGAGGGGAGGGCACACGGAGCGCCTGCTGGAAGGAGAGCTCCTGGAGTTGACACCGAGTTTGTGTTTGTGACTCCTACCGTGCGTCAGTTCAACGCTGCCTCCGCTGAACCCCGTCGTGTTTGTTTTTTTAGTGCATGAAGGTCTGAAGAAATTTGGCAAACGTTACTGTTTCAAAATTCTGTAATCACTGAGAGCTTAACAGATGCACAGATGAATTTAGCAGTAGTCACATTATTATAATTTTGAAGCAAATTAGCTGTGATGACTATCCTTATCAACAATGATGTCCATTGGTCCTACTGCAGTACATTAGTTCACATGATAGTATCTAAGATAATTGCTAGAAGAGGTGTGAGAAGTCAGTCCTCCAAGTTCTGTGCTTATCCAGCGCAATTTCCACAGACCCTTCTCCGCCTGGCCCTTGTGTTTGTGCTCTGCTTGAAGCCTGACCTCACTCTCGCTCTCAAACGCACACCCCCGCCCCCTGTCCCATCCCACGACTGCAGCCGTCTAGTCACGGGCACGCCACGTTGGTGTGAGCCGTGGCAAGTGTGGGGAGGGAAGGCAAGAGAGGAGGCTTGCTTCTGGCTCTTTAATCCACTCTGCCCAGAGCTTTCCTTTTACACTGGGGCTGGCAGTGTGGCGCAGTGTGTGAAGCTACCACATGCAGCTTCTGCATCCCGTATCAGAGTGCCTGGTTTGCGTCCCAGCTACTGGATTTCCAGTCTGCTCCCTGCTCATGGCCTGGAAAGCAGCAGGTGATGGCCGAAGGACTCAGTTCCTGTCTTGCATGTGGGAGACCCAGCTGGAGCTTATGGCTCCTGGCTTCAGCCTGGCTCAGCTCTGGATGCTGTAGCCATTTGAGGAGTGAACCAGCAGATGGAAAAATCTCTATGTTTCTCTTCTCTGTCGCTCTGCCTTTCAAATAAATCTTTAAAACATACATTGGAATCACGTTTGATAGCCCTGTTCCTGTTCAGCTTCAGGGACATCTGGGTTGAAGTGAGCTTTCATGAGCTGGTAGGGATACACTGTCGCCCGTGGCGATCCGTTTTCTGAGTTTAATCAGTGATGCAGAAATGGACTCTGGGAATATAACTTGTTTTTTAGTTGGAGTCGGGCTTATGTGTAATAATTGGCACATGTTCCCCGAACAGAATGCTTGACCTGACCCAATTAAGAAATTTAGCCAATGGATGAATCACTGAAGAATTATATTGGTAAAGACACAAATATTATATACTAGTTTTGAGCTCTGGAAGTTGCAGTTTGTTTTGATATAGAAAGATATTTATTGCATTTTTGTCTGAAGCTCCTTTTTTTTTTAAGATTGATATGTTTGGAATCAGAATTAGAGAGGGAGAGAGGTGGAGAGGGAGAGAGGGGGAGAGAGAGAGAGAGAGAGACAAAGAGAGGTCTTCCATCTGCTAGTTCACTCCCCAAATGGCTGAACTGACCAGGGCTGGGCCAGGCTGAAGCCAGTAGCCAGGCGCTTCCTGTGGGTCTCCCATGTAGGTACAGGGGCCCACACTTCTTCCCCAAGTGCATTAGAAGGGAGCTTTACTGGAAGTGAAACAGCCGGGACTTGAACTGCCTTCCATATGGGATGCTGATACTGCAGACGGGGGCTTTGTTTTTTTTTTTTTTTTTAATATTTGTTTATTTGAAAGTCAGAGTTACACAGAGAGAGGAGAGGCAGAGAGAGGAAGGGAGAGAGAGAGCGGGTGGGTGGGAGGGAAGAAGGGAGGAAGGGAGGAAGGAAGAAAGGAAGGTAGGTAGGTAGGTAGGTCTTCCATCCGCTGGTTCACTCCCCCGATGGCCACAATGGCTGGAGCTGCACCTGTCTGAAGCCAGGAGCCAAGAGTTTCTTCTGGGTCTCCCAAATGGGTACAGGGGCCCAAGGACTTGGGCCATCTTCTACTGTTTTCCCAGGCCATGGCAGAGAGCTGGATCAGAAGTAGAGCAGCTGGGACTTGAACCGGTGCCCATATGGGATGCCGGCACTGCAGGAGGTGGCTTTACAGGCACAGGTCCCCAAACGGGGGGTCGGGGTGGGGAACCTGCTGTGCCACAGTGTTGGCCCCTATCTGCAAGTCTTACATCACATCCAGTATGCGTTCAGCAAACACTGGGACTGGCTACAGCCTGTGCTTTGGAATACAGCAATGGGTAGAACAAAGGCCTGCTCCCTGGGCTTCTTGCCGGCCCACCTCCCTCTGGGCAGGTGTGCTGTGCCACTTCCTGCTGGGATTTGGCGTGGACCCGGCCCAGCCGTCTCTCTGTCCTTGCAGCTGCAGCAGTTTTTCAGCAGCATGTTGGAGGAGCACCAGAGGCTCACAGCCCAGGCCAGACTGCAAAGCATGAAGAACGAGAATCTGGACCTCAGAAAGCAGAGCGCCAGGATGGCCGCGTGGCTGCGCAAGCACACGTAGCCCCGGCTCCTTCCAGCCCGCCCCGGGAGTTACCACTAGTCCACGCACAGCTGTCTTGAGTGCTCTGTGAGTCTGGACAACCGCACGTTCGTACCCTTGCATGTCAGTCACATGACCAGAGCCCTGTTCCTCCTGCAGCGGCACGCTGGGCCCTGAGGCTCGGCCACTGCAGAGGAGTCTCTGAACACTACTGCGTTTCTGGAGCAGAGTTCACATTGTGTCGGGCTATAAACACACAGAATTTACGTTAAAGGCCTTGTGAAAACCGATGTACCTAAGACAATGTTGCTTGCTGTGTTGTGAAGGCCCTGGAGTATTAAACCACTGCATCACTGAGAGCACACTGTTTTCTGAGGGAAGGCAGATTTGCAGGTCTTGAGGGTTTGTTTAGTATTGGAAACGGTAATGCGAAAATAACACAGCCGTGTATGAAACGGAAGCCAGAGAATAGTAATTCTCAGCAGAAGACAGAAAAGCCACAGAAATGCACGCTTTATGCGGGAAGAGTGGGCTGTCTCACGGCCAGGGTAGGTGCCCTCGGCAGGAAGTGTGTCTGCTGGCTGGTTCTTCCTCCCACATACCCACGGCTGGGCCCACACCTTGCTGGGACTGTACTTAAGACAAATGACCAGGTGACCCACGGGAGTGCCTCTAGCTGTAAGCCAGAATGCGGACCAAGGCTCCGCCCCGATGTTGGCTGTGTTTCCACCTGGGGATGGGCGCTTTCTCAGCCAATGACAGTGAAAATAACGCGGCCACAAGGCAGTCACAATTACGTTCTGATCTTTGGGGCAGAAGGAAATCACCAAATGGAGGGAGCTAGAAGTTAAAAGCTAACCAGAGCCTAATTCTTAGTTTTATACTCAAGGGGTTAGGTTTATAACTTGGTTTCTATTGGCCAAACTGAAGCTAATTGTAATATGGGCTGACTTTAAACATGTTTCTCACTGGCCTGCAGTGCTGGCATCCCATAGGGACTCTGGTTCTAGTTCCAGCTGCTCCTCTTCTGATCCAGTTCTCTGCTGTGGCCTGGGAAAGCACTGAAAGACGGCCCAAGTCCTTGGGCCCCTGCACCCACGTGGGAGACCTGGAAGAAGCTCCTGGCTTCAGATCGGTGCAGCTCCAGCTGTTGCGGCCATCTGGGGAGTGAACCAGCGGATGGAGGACCTCTCTCTCTGTCTCTACCTCTCTCTGTAACTCTCTTGCAAATAAATAAATAAATTCTTTAAAATAAAATAAAATAAAATAAAACATGTTCATCAGCCATAGGGTATGGCATTAACTCAGTTCTGGTGCTCCTGGTTACAACAGGGCAGCTACGGCAAACCATTCCCACCCAGACTTGTCATGTTGTCTTCATGCATGTCTTGTTTTTGTAGAATGTGGGTAAAACAAAGATCTCTGACTTACCTCGGAGTGAGACTAAGAATTAAGAAACAGGGTGTGGAAAGCCTTTAAAGACGCTTAAGGCAATGCACTTTACGGCTTGCTCTCTGTTGCTTGTAAAGAACAAGGCGGCTACAAACTAAAATGCAGCACCGAAGTTCACTTTCGCATTCACTTCTCGAGGATTCTCCTTGACTCTCAGTGAGAGCCATGACGCCACCATGTGGACAAAGCAGAGCACAGCCACGTGGGCTTGGCCGTGGGCCGTAGAGCAGAGATTTTATTTTTATTATTTAGGAATGTGCATTTTAGGGCGCAGCACACCCCCATGTCTTCAGCTGCTGTGTGGAGATGCTGTCCTGTGTTTCCTTCGTCGTTGGTCCATCCCATCTGTCCACAAGCTTGTCGGCCCCTGTGTTCTCTGCACATGGAGGCTGGCACTCAGCACCTGAGTCAGGGGATGCCAAGCACAGTGGACCTTGCTAGGAAAGCACAAGGCAGGTTTCTCCAGAATGTGTGTTGAAAATTCAAGTCCCTGGGGCTGGCGCCATGGCTCACTTGGTTAATCCTCCACCTGCAGCGCCGGCATCCCATACGGGCACCGGGTTCTAGTCCCGGTTGCTCCTCTTCCAGGCCAGCTCTCTGCTGTGGCCTTGGAAGGCAGTGGAGGATGGCCCAGGTGCTTGGGCCCTGCACCCACATGGGAGACCAGGAGAAGCACCTGGCTCCTGGCTTTGGATCAGTGCAGTGCGCCGGCTGTAGCAGCCATTTGAGGGGTGAACCAACAGAAGGAAGACCTTTCTCTCTGTCTCTCTTTCTCGTTGTCTAACTCTGCCTAATAAAAAAAAAAAAAAAAAGAAAAAAGAGAATTCAAGTCCCATCATATCTTAGTGTCTGCAAAATCAAATACCCAAATAGTAAATTTCTCTAAATATAACAAAGACTTTTGAATAATATCTATTTTTTCTTACTTGGTGAGTGTATTCGTTTATTCCAGACAAGCATTGTACTTTAAAAGATTTATTTATTTGAAAATCAGAGTTACACAGAGAGAGGAGAGCTGGGGGGTGGGGCTTCCATCCATTGGTTCACTCCCCAATTGGCTGCAACAGCTGGAACTGTGCTGATCCAAAGCCAGGAACCAAGAGATTCCTCTGGGTCTCCCACGTGGGTGCAGGGGTCCAAGGACTTGGGCCATCCTCCACTGCCTTCCCAGGCCATAGCAGAGAGCTGGATCAGAAGTGGAGCAGTTGGGTCTCGAACTGGCACCCAAATGGGATGCCGGTGCTTCAGGCCAGGGCGTCAACCCACTGCACCACAGCGCTGGCTCTCTACCTTGCCTTACACTTTATCATAAAAACAAATAATTGTTGATTGATTGCTGTGATAGCAATAAGGCAGTAACATTGGGGTGGATTTATCAAAATGGCATAAATACTTTTTTCACCAATGAAGCCAGCTTACCTGTTCACGTCCCAACTAAGAAACAAATTTTCCTACTCAACTGTTTACTTTATACCATTCATCCTAAAACCAGCTGACAAAATTTACAACATACTCATGAGTTTTCCATTTGGTGTTAGAGAATGAAAATTTTCCTCCCAGTGCTGTGCTTCCCTCCCGCTCGGAGCCGACCACTGAGTCTCCTTTGTTGCTGTGCAGCTGAGCACAGAAGCTGCAGCCTGAGGTTCAGGGTCATCTGTGTGAACGCTCTGGGGCCAATCTGAGGCGCAAATCCAGAATCCGAGTGAGATAAGATTTAAAAGGGTGCTCCTCTCGGCTGCTTCACCTGTCTCACTCTTCACCCCAGTAAATGCACTTTTTTGCCCTCCAAACTTTAGCGGGATTCCGATGTCCCAAGCAAAGCCTTAAGAGGGGCTCACAGGTAAACGGGAATCCTCCTACACACAGTTACGCAGCATGGTCAGCATTTGAAGTCAGTGTGGCCTCTGGCTCACTTTCCTCTCGACGTCAGCAAGATGGGTGAAGATCAAGGTCACTACCCACCTCTTCAGGTCATCTGGACCCTCCAGAACCAGAGCAGGTTGGCGTTTACTCCAGGGTGAGCCAAGGGCAGCTGTGGGGGCCCGTGATCCCGAACGGGCAGGAGAGCAAGGAGTGCAGAGAGAGGAGCTCACAAGGCCCTCAGAGTCCAGGCAGCCCAGTGGCGGCAAGCCAGAGCCAAGCAGGGTGAGGAGAGCATCTAATGAGAAAGGGGGTTCACATCCTTGTTGGGTAAGGAGGGAGTCTGGATTTGGGGGGACTGTGGCCTACCATGATGCACTGCAGCCAGAGGAGGGCGAGGAGGGCGTCCACACTGGAGAGACGAGAGGCAGAGATGAGATCTCGGTACCATGAGGGTATGGATCAGACAATAAAGCACATAAAATGATAACAGGATCCGGGTGTCTGCACTTTGGAGAAGACATTCAAAAGGACGGGATGAGAATGAACTCTTCAGGTTGGAATTGAAGCACTGGTGTAGACTCATGGTCCTCAATTTGCAGTTATATGAAGCGTGTAATGCCTGTAATGTGTGCGTGGATCTATGTTCTGATCTCTCTCTATAGACATACCTAGATAGAGGCCCTAACTTTTCCAGCAGGAGTGTCTGGCAGCACCAACCCCTTGTCAGGGCTTGACTGTGTCTCCCCCAGATTCACCTGTGTGAGCTCTAACCTCCAAGGTGAGGCCGTGACTACCATGATGCGATTACTGCCCTTACAAGGAAAGGAAGCGACACCAGAGCACTCTCTCCTCACATACGTGTCCTGAGGAAAGTCCCCTTGAGTACACAGTGACAAGGTGGCCATTCACAAGCCAGGAACCCAGTCTGCCTGCCTCTTGAGTGTGGCTTTCCCAGCCTCCAGAGTGGCAATACAGAAGTGTCCACTGCTTCAGCCCTCGTCAATGGTGCTCAGTCAGCCCTAAGAACACTGGGCATGGCTGGTGGCCAGCCCATTCTCCGACTGCTGTCCTTCACTGAGAGACCGGGGCTCCTGGGGGAAACAGCTGATTTCAGGACTGGGGCACGGGCACAACTAGAAATGGAACATCTTTTAAAACCAAAAAGCAAGGAAGGGGCCGGCGCTGTGGCGCAGTGGGTTAACGCCCTGGCCTGAAGTGCCAGCATCCCCTTTGGGTGCCGGTTCAAAACCCGGCTGCTCCACTTCCAATCCAGCTCTCTGCTGTGGCCTGGGAAAGCAGTGGAAGATGGCCCAAGTCCTTGAGCCCCTGCTCCTGTGTGGGAGACCTGGAAGAAGCTCCTGGCTCCTGACTTGGGATCAGTGCAGCTCTGGCTGTTGCAGCCAACTGGGGAGTGAACCAGTGGATGGAAGACCTCTCTCTCTCTCTCTCAACCTCTCTTCTCTCTGTGTGTAACTCTGACTTTCAAATAAATAAATAAATCTTTAAAAAAAAAAAAAAGGAAGTCCTCAAAGAATGATGGGGACACATCACAAGGGCACAGGGATCAGCTTGAAGGGGACCCCTCCCTGCACTGGCCAAATCTGGGAAAATTTGAGCAGCATGATAAAGACAATAAGGGAATAAAATAAATGATGACTTCTTATTTACCTAAATCATGAATAAACTCAAATTTTGTTGGCAAAAACGGTATTTTCATAATTTAAAAGTACTTTCTCAGAAAATCCTGACTCAGAATGAGGGGAAAATGAGTAGCTAACAATTTTGGAGAAGCCTGGCAACGTCACCTTATCAGTGTTAACATCATCATGAAGGGCTAAATACAAATTCTCCATTTCATACGATGAAAAGACACAGAGTCCTCTCCAAAAGTGAAAAGGTTATGAGAGTCAAGGAAAGACGGAGGGCTTGCACCACATGGAGATTAAAGATAAATGATAATTACAGAATTAAACCAGTCATATTAAGTAGAACAGACAAAAAAAAAATACTACGAGGGATAATGTATTAAGTTGTCCATTAGCAGTCAGGGCTATGCTGATCAAGTCACCGTTTCCCATAGTGTCCATTTCACTTCAGGAGGTTTCCTTTTTGGTGTTCAGTCAGTTGTCACCGATCAGGGAGAACATATGGTATTTGTCCCTTTGGGACTGGCTTACTTCACTCAGCATGATGTGTTCCAGATTCCTCCATTTTGTTGCAAATGACTGGATTTTGTTGTTTCTTACTGCGGTATAGTATTTTAAAGAATACATATCCCATAATTTCTTTATCCAGTCTACCATTGATGGGCATTTAGGTTGGTTCCAGGTCTTGGCTATTGTGAATTGTGCTGCAATAAACATTAGGGTGCAGACCGCTTTTTTGTTTATCAATTTAAACTCCTTTGGGTAAATTCCAAGGAGTGGGATGGCTGGGTCGAACGGTAGGGTTATATTCAGGTTTCTGAGGAATCTCCAGACTGACTTCCATAGTGGCTTGACCAGTTTGCATTCCCACCAACAGTGGGTTAGTGTCCCTTTTTCCCCACATCCTCGCCAGCATCTGTTGTTGGTAGATTTCTGTATGTGAGCCATTCTAACTGGGGTGAGGTGAAACCTCATTGTGCTTTTGATTTGCATTTCCCTGATTGCTAGCGACCTTGAACATTTTTTCATGTGCCTGTTGGCCATTGGGATTTCCTCTTTTGAAAAATGTCTATTGAAGTCCTTGGCCCATCTCTTAAGTGGGTTGTTGGTTTTGTTTTTGTGGAGTTTCTTGATCTCTTTGTAGATTCTGGTCATTAACCCTTTATCTGTTGCATAGTTTGCAAATATTTTTTCCCATTCTGTCGGTTGTCTCTTCACTCTCCTGACTGTTTCTTTTGCAGTACAGAAACTTCTCAATTTGATGCAATCCCAATAGTTGATTTTGGCTTTGACTGTCTGTGCCTCCCGGGTCTTTTCCAGAAATTCTTTGCCTGTGCCAATATCTTGAAGGGTTTCTCCAATGTTCTCTAATAACATGCAGCCTTATGGGACACCATCAGCTTACTGTAGGCTAAAGGCACACCAAGGGCTGCAATACAACTGTCTTTCCAACCGCCTTTTTTATCCCACTTTTTTCTTTCAAAGTTGGTGATAGTGATTGCTCAAGTTACCCACTAAGTATTTTAATAAGCCCAAAGTGGAAGTACAAGTTGTCCTAAAAAGCTGAATTTTATATTTCAGTCAATATTTTCCAACTTACATCATCAGAGGAATTAGAAACTTTAAAATTTTTATATTTAAAATTAAGCACATTAATGTAAAAGAAGGGTAAATCATTACAATTTGAAATAAAGTTTTCCTGAAAGACATGAATTTACAGCATTTATACTTCTGAAGGTATTAAAATTTTACATAGGGTCCTTTCGGGGAAGACCTTCATATATCTATATAATACAGTCACAATGGCAACAACATGACTTACTCCATGCTATGGTAAAGGGTTTCCATTTCACTTAACTGGTGATAACTGGTAAGTCTAGAAATGGTGTTGTATACAATAACTGATACATAGCTATTTATTCGTTTTAAAAAAAGTTTATTCTGTTTGCAAGGCAGAGGTACAGAGAGCAAGAGGGAGGGAGAGAGAGATCTTCCATCTGCTGGTTCACTCCCCAGTGGCTGCAACAGCCAGGACCGGGCCAGGTTGAAGCCAGGGCCAGGAACTTTGTCTGGGTCTCCAGTGTGGGTGCAGGGTCGAGGACTTGGCACTGTTTTGCAGGCGCATTGGCAGGAACCTGATGGAAACGGAGCAGTGAGATTCGAACCGGCCCCTGTAAGGGATGCCAGCATGGCAGGTGGCAGCTCAACTCATTACACCACAGTGCCAGCCCTGCTAAATATTCTTGAATGTTAGTATCTTGATTTAATGGAGGCAAGCAGAAAAACTCTCTGATAGGTACACATCATCACTTCCTTTAACTACTTCACTGGAGAAAAACATGGGTAAATTTTATCTGCTCTTGTTTTTTAAATGGCTATCCTTGGGTTACAATTTCAAAATAATAAATTATAGACATTTTAACAGAAGCCTCCTACCCATGCTTTATTCTTAAAAGCCTAACCTTTTTGGAAAGGTTATTTGTGTATCTGTGTATGTACGCATATAAGACATACTGTGTGTGTGTCTTCCCCGGTTTTAGAGGAAAACAAACTTCATTTGTTTTCATTTGAGAAGGAATCAAAGAGAAGTAGCACAGCGCTCGCTCCTGGGAGAGGTGGTCAGCAGGGTGCAGCAGCACCTGCCGAGGTTGCGCTGTGTGGTGGACTGAGCTACGCAGCATCAGTACCCGTCTCTGGCTCAGCATCCCCTGTGAGCCAGTGCACCCACACGGTCTGTCTGGACGAAAACCCAGACCAGTTTCTTTCTTTGTATCTGATAGATATTTTACTGTTAGGAAGTTGCTAAGTGAGTATTGGAGAGGCCGGCGCTGTGGTGCAGCAGGTAAAGCCCTGGCCTCCAGTGCCGGCATCCCATATGGGTGCTGGTTCTAGTCCCGGCTGCTCCACTTCCCATCCAGCGCTCTGCTGTGGCCTGGGAAAGCAGTGGAGGATGGCCCAAGTGCTTGGGCCCCTGTACCTGCATGGGAGACCTGGAGGAAGCTCCTGGCTCCTGATTTCGGATCAGCTCAGCTCTGGCCATTGTGGCCATCTGGGGAGTGAACCAGCGGATGGAAGACCTCTCTTTGTCTCTACCTCTCTAACTCTTTCAAATAAATAAATATTAAAAAAAGAAAAAAGATGAGTTTTGGAGAAAGGAAAAGCAAACGCGTGCCGAGTTACACAGCTCCTGGAGACGCTTCCCCTCAGGGCTGGGGAACAGAGCACAAAGGCTGGAATCTGCGGCAGGGGGGCCTTGCAGCAGGGAGAGCAAGACCCCGGGCTCACCGATCTCGCCCAGGTGCCGGTGCTTCAAGTCCAGAATCTGTCCTGCCCAGCCAGCGTCCTCACTGTCTCCCTAGAGACCTGGTGAAGCTGTGAACTCAACTGGTAACCAGGGGCCGAGCGGCTCTGACACTGAGCACCTCCCACTCGCGGGGGGCCTCCCGTGCACACGGGGATACCCCCCCCCCCCCATCCCTCGGCACCGACCGCAGACCACAGGTGCGCGCTGCCCAACCCGGGAGGCACCGTCCGGCCGCAGCTCTGAGGCCCACCAGGGGAACCTGTCCCTGGGCTTCTCCGGCACCGGTCAGAACTGAGAACCCGGACCGTGTGAACTCAGTCATAACTGGAGAACCGAAGAGACAGACAGCAAGGCAGCCAGGAACCGCCGGAACACGCAGCAGCAGGGCAGGTGGCGGCGAGGGGCCGGGTGGGCGCCCTGGCGCAGGTGCCCGGGGACCCGCGGGGAGCGGGCGCCGGACTCAGATCTCTGGGGGGCTCAGGCCGGCGGGCGCTGCGCTCTCGGGGGGACACACTGGGCTGGGCCTGCGGACTGGGCCCAACAACCACTGCCCAACTAGCCACAAACCAACCGCAGCTGAGCCGAGCAGGCCGCAGCGGGAGCAGGCGGGAAAGGGCCGGAAGCGGAAGCGCGCGCTCGCCCCGCCCCCTGCCCCGAGCGCGCGGGCGCCCCCTGCTGGCGGAGCGCGCGCGCTGCGGGCGGCCGGGAGGGAACCCCGGGCGTGTGAGGTAGCCGCGCGCGGCCCAGGTCAGTGCAACGTCCGGGCCGGCGCCGCGGGAGGCCGGGCGGGGCGGCGGGGCGGCGGGGCGGGCAGCGGAGGCCTGCGCGGCCGTCCCCTCGGGCGAGCCGGGCCTCAGCGCGCTTCCCGCGCTTCCCGCGCACGCTGCCTGCCGGGGAGGTTTCCAGAGGAGGGGGCCCTCTGCGAGGCGGTCGCCGCGGTCCGCAGGCGTGGGTTGCTGAGGGCTCTCGGACTCTGACACGGCTGGCCCCGAGCCGGCTGGCCCCGAGCAGCCGGGTCGCCGTCTCGATTCCCGATTTCTCTGAAAATCACAGACGCTGCGCAAGTGCGGTCTGGAGACATCCGCTGGGCATAAACTCTCTCTGAGGGTTCGAGGGCGGAGTTAGAGAGAGGAGGCCAGACGGCGGAGGCCGTCCATCCGCTGGGTCACTCCCGAGTGGCCGGAGCCGCGGGCCGGGAAGCGGCTTCCTCCGGCTCTCCCACGCGCGTTCGTGGCGGCGCCGCGCCGACCCGAAGCCAGGAGCTTCTCCCGGGCCTCCCACGCAGGGGCATGGGCCCAGGGACTTGGGCCATCCTCCACGGCTTTCCCAGGTCTTGGCTGAGAGCGGGACCGGAAGTGGAGCAGCTGGGACTCGAACCGGCGCCCTTATGGGATGCTGGTGCCGCAGGCAGAGGCTCCGCCCACTGCGCCACAGCGCTGGCTCCAGTTGATTTAAGGGTAGCGTTCACTGAAGTACTGACTTTCTTAGTTTCCATAAACCATATACATATAAACCATATACAACCATAAAATGGTTGTATAAATGAGTATTATAAATGAGAATTGTACATGTCAGAAATGTATTTACATTATAAATTATTTTAAAATTTAATATCTGTTTGAAAGACAGAGACCTCGCATCTCTTGGTCCCCTGGTTCATTCCCCAAATGCCAGTCACACCCAGGGCTGAGCCGTGCTGAAATCAGGAGCCAGGATCTGCCGCCAGGATTCTCAGGTGAGTGGCAGGAATCCAGGTACTCGGGGATGACCTGCTGATGCCAGGGTGTGCTTCCGGGGGAAGCTGGAGCCGAGGCCTTAACCCCGGGGGCTTGGATATGGGGTGGGGACATTTCTGAAGCAGCCTCTTAACCACACCGCCAAACACCAACCCTGCACACACGATAAATTCTAATTTCAAATGCCACATTTGTGAAAAACATAGCATGAATATGTGGATGTAGCTCAAATCAATGTCCTTATTGATGCTCTCTTCAAAAGTAGTAATTTTTATCTTTTTGGGTGTTTTTGATATGCAACTCTCCTCCTCTGAGCATTGCTTTTCTCAGAGGCAAAAGAAAAATATTTTCCTGTGTTAGGGTTCCCGGTTCTCCCCCCATGCCCTCCCCTGCCAGGACCTCTTGGAGGTATCTTCCGGATCCCATAGGTGTTGATGAAGTGTGACTACTTCTTGACTAGGACAGCTCCCAGGAGGGCTGGGGCCGGCCGGGGACAAGAAGAAGGTCCTGCCTGGCTCTTGCCCTCCCCGTCCTGCTTTAGGTAAAACAGCTCCACTTGGGTTGGTTTCGTGTATTGGAGTTGAATGTAGAGAAAAATCTTTAAAACCGTGTTTGAAAGCTGGTGGATGACCTGATGGGCAGCGCCCTTTCTGGGGCTGGCGACATGCCGACTCCCTCTTGTCCACGCCTGGTGACTCCTCCACCTGGCCTGTGTTGCTTTGCAGGCTCTGGGTTTCCCATCACAGAGGCCCTCACCTCTGAAAGGAGTCTCCTTTCACTGAGACGGAAGTAAATGAATGGTTCTTAAGGGAGAGAATAATTCTGGAGCCAGCCTCTGTTTTGCCTTATTCCAAGGGTGCCCTGCACCTGGTGTTCTTGAGGTAGGAAGGGCTATTTTTCTTTTTTAAAGCTATTTTAATTCTGGGTTAGGGTTTTTGCACCATCTGCTGGACATATTTATTTCGCACATATGAGAGAACCATAGGTTATTCGCAGAAGTCATCTTTTCAAATATTGTTAATTATCTAAAAATTATCAAATACATGTTTGTTATAGGAAACATGTGGATACAGGGAAAAGAAACTATAAAACAAACATCCAAGGCTACTTGCTATTACTGCCTAACGGTATTTCCTTACACACACACACACACACACACACACGAGAATTACTTTCAGCACAAGCCGGAGATGAACGCTGTTGATTTAGGTCAAGGTAGAAGTAGAGAAGGAGGCACTGCCGCTCAGAGGTTTGCTCAGGGTGATCGTGCAGCCAGCTCGCACCTTAGGGTTTCCTTTGCTTATCATGCAAAGCAGGACTCTTTGGCTCCAGTTTAAGTGGGTGGGGAGGGAAGGGGGGGGTGGGGAGATCCTGAGAAGATGCCCCATAGTGCTGAGTTTCGCGGGAAACAGGTTGGGTCTCCCAGTTACTGCTTCTGGTGGAAATTATGCTGTTCATGCTCTCTGCTAGAGGATCCGCGTGAACACAGGGGCTGCTGCCTGAGCAGGAGCTACAGACACCCCGGGGCTAAGGGTCTCCATCCTGCCTTGAGGCGACAGAGGTGTGGCAGGGGAGACAAGTCTGCGAATGGGTGCATTCCAAGACTCCCCGCCCCCGTGGGTGGGTGAAACCCTAGCAGTTTCAGACTACGTCTCTTCAACACAAGCACCGCAGTAACGTCCTAGTTGATTTGACAGTGAAACCATCTGATAGCAGCTAGCAGGTGGGCGATGCATGCAGCATGGAGACACTGAGCAGGCAACGAGTCCCACTCCAGGCAGCCTGCAGCAGGGCGGCCGGAGATTGCGTTACCCTGCTCGGAACAGCACACCGCCTGAAAGTTAAGGATTTCAGTTTTCAGACTGGCATTGCCCACAAAACAAACTGCAGATGAGTAAGGACTCCTGAAAACTGGGATCGCACTTGGAGACCGAGAAGGGGACGGGGTGTCCTGACCCGTCAGCGGGTTCCCCAGGGTGGTTTTCCACACACATACTCAGTGAGGCAAGTGTAGTTGGGGGCTGGAGTGGCGACATTCTGGCGTCAGGTGTAGGGAGTGCTGCAGGGAAGACGAGGCTGGGAAGGCAAGCCTAAGTCATGCCACTGGGGGCACGCCTGGAGGACCTCAGGGCATCAGAAGTGTCTCATGGGTGGCAGGTGACCAGTGTCTCATGATAAGGAGGTGGCACCTCTGTGGACTGGAGGGACTGAAGGCAGAGAAACCAAGTGCCGTTCAAAGTAGGCCTGACAAAGATGGGAGTGTCAAACCGGTGAAGATGCAATGCACCCAGGAAATGGTGCCTAATCTGAAGCACAAGCGTGAATCATTAGTGCTACGTAAGTAAGTCTGGGCCCAGCTGTGGAAGTAATCTGAGAGCAAACGTGGGTCCCTGGATCTTTAACCATACTTAGGACCTTCCAAAATTTTCCTGCACAACCTCAGAGGCCAAACCTGCAATCCCTTGCTTGGAACTTCAGCCCCCCTGGACAGGCTCCTGCAGGTCCCTGGGGCATGAGAGACCTATCGGGGTAGCAGCAGTGGAACCAAAGGAGCGCATCCTTGGGCACACTGCCCTGCTCTTGGGGGGCCAGGCTAGGGAAAGACAGCCGGTGGCATCAGCTCTGCAGTCACTCTTCTTGATGGGCAAAGGGCGGAGCCATTTCAGACTCAGTGTAGCACTAGGGGTGAGTGTGAGCCTACTCTGGGCACGTTGGTGGGAAACCCCCAGGCCCCTCTCCTCTCGTCCTGCAGCGAGCAGCTGTCTCAGGAAGAAGGACGTCCACGCAAAGGTCACAGCAGGTGGGAAAGGGCCAGAATGAAAACTGCAGACTGGCCAGGGCAGAGCAGAGCAGGACATGGGGAGCCGACTTCTTCATGGGATGAAGCATTGAAATAAGAGATGAGCTCAAAGACAGAGGCAGGCTAGGAGAGAGGACGGAACATAAGCTGAGCAAGTGCAGAACTGAGTAATGAAGTTTATATCCTGAAATGTTCACAGCAAGGGGAAAAGGAGCAGAAACCCCAGAGCTTAGCATATGTCTTAGGACAGTAGAAGAGCAAACGTACCCAGTGTTCTTAGGAGGATTTGAAATGGAAGAGAGAGAAACGGAGAGAAAACTGAATTCTTTGAAAAGATGAACAGACTCTTGAGAGAGAAGGTATAAACTGTCATGAATAAAAATGACTTAAATGACCCAATGATATTGATCAACAAGTTCGTGCTAATAAGTGACAGCTTGGGAGAAGTGGTGAAGTTCCTAGAAAAATCTGATTTACCAAAACTATCTCACAAAGAAATGTTTAAAATTCTCTACGTTCTCGAGTTTGCTTTCTGGACTATAAAGTGTGTAAATTCCTGTAAGCACATAACATTTCCACAGAACCATTCCAACAGTTGCAGCCTGTTACAGGATTTTTTGATTAAAGTTGTTGCTTACATTTTCACTCCTAACTTGCAGCTGTACAATCCAGCAGTTGATACAAGATTGACTTTTTTTTTAAAGATTTATTAATTTATTTGAAAGGCAGAGTTACAGAGAGGCATAGGCAGTGGTGGGGGGTTCTTCCATCTGCTGATTCACTCCCCAGATGGCCTCAACAGCCAGAGCTGATCTGATCGGAAGCCAGGAGCCAAGAGAGTCTTCCGAGTCTCCCACCTGGGTACAGGGGCCCAAGGTCTTGGGCCATCTGCTTTCCCAGGCCATAGCAGAGAGCTGGATGGGAAGTGGAGCAGCCGGGACTCGAACTGGCGTCCATATGGAATGCTGGCACTGCAGGTGGCGGCTTTACCTGCTATGCCACAGCGCCGGTTCCAAGACTGATTCTCGTAGTGAAATATTTGTCAACTTCTGTCATCTCTTAGTCTAAACTCACTAAAGAGGAATTACTTGGTTAAGAAGATGCTGATTCTAAAGCTTTTGTTACATGCCAGATGGCTAGAGTGTTCACTGAAGGCCTTCGTGCTGGAGAGAACAGCAGGCACAGGTTGAGGGGCAGCAAGCAGATGTGTCCTGAGGAGGGAGTCATTCCATGAAATATCAGTATAGTTTATTATGGAATTAAATTAGTAACAGTATTAGCATAATGGTGATGCCATCAGTAAACTTGAACTGTTAGCCCACATCTCATCTCACTGCTGCTCCTCTGTCCAGGTCACAAGTTGTATAAAGTCATTTCAGTCGTTTTCCCAAAGGGAGCCCCTGGAGGTGCTGAGAGGGTGTGCTGCTTCCTCCCCTCGCTCAGGTGCTTGTAGTCTGGGTAGAGACAGAGGCTATTGTGATAAGCTTTGATTTCACACTGCCTAGCCCCACCCTGAGCTAGCTGGCTCAGAGCAGCTCTCTGCACCTGCCGCCTGCCCTAGGCTCTTCCAGCTCAGAGCAGCTCTGTGCACCCAGAATCCCCTTTGCACTCCCTGTCAGCCTGGAGTTCCCCTGTGCATTTTCAAGACTCTTTCACAAGGCACCTGTTCTAGGGAGCCTTGCTTGTCACCGCTGCTCTTCCATTTAACAGTCTTTCCCCGCTCCACTGGCCCGTCGGTGCATTGAGTGAGGCACATGTTGTGTTTGCCACATTCTCATGGACTGTTTGGAGAGCCCAAGTGTCTTACTTGTCTAAATGCTTGCTGCGTGAATGATTTGCAGAGTAGGTGTGATCGGTACCCTGCAGGTCATCCATGCTGGAGCCACTGCTCCTGGCTTGGGTGGTCAGGTCCGTTGGCTCCTGGGTTTCCAGGGTGATCCACATGTGCCTTTCAGAAGTACAGCCCGTTAGAGCTCCCTAGCGGCACAGTGCCTTAACCAAACAACCACCATAGTGCAACTGCAGTAGTAGTACCCAGACAATGGGGGTTACTCTCGCTGTGGTTTCCGTGAGAGGATTGGGCAGGCCCAGTGAGAGCTTGTGAGCAGCTGCAGAGGGAGATGCCGACAGATTTGGCATGACAGAGCTCGAGGTTCCTACTGTACCCCTCCCTGGAGGCACTCTCAAAGGCAGTGGCTT